CATCATCATCATCATCATTCTGAAGTAAATATTCCATGCCCTCCAGTATGTATTACAATTTTCAATCTTTGTTCTTTGACAAAAGACGGGAAAATCACTGAATCAAATCAAAGGTAGATAGTAGGTCACACTTGAACGTTCGGAGTGAAGAGGTTGATCCAATGACCCCGAAAATCCTCCGAGCTTGATCTGGCCCCGGAAGCTGCCCGGTTGCTTATCAGCGGGGGTTTGACACACCGCTACAGAGTCACAACAGTCTTGGAAGAGGCCGCCTTTCGAAATGTCTCCTTATTTCCAATCCATCACAGCTTATCGCTTGGCGCTGGTTGCATTCGAGCATCCTGGAGCCCGCTGATCCCTTACACAAGCGCCCGGAGAGAACCTGGACGGTTGCCAATCGTGAAATGCAACACCCCTGTCGGATCGGCCAGGATGTGGAGAAGCAGGTAAAGCTATCTTTCCCCCTCTTCGTTACTACCGAGTTCGCGCCAGGTTTGAAAATATTAATGTTGGATGGTACATTAGCTTGCGGTTATGCCAGCCTCTTCTCCAGGATCTACTTGTGCGCATCATTCCATTCCGCAAAGAAATTGGAGGCAGACTCTTGTCAACATGTTGCAACCGTTAAGACTTGGAGTTTTGGCGATTTTGTCGTTGCTATTGATCACAATTCATCTACCCAATGCAATCACCTCGCCCTTGGAGTTCTCAGTGCGGAACCCGAATTTTGGCCTCGAGTCGCATGGTAGAATTAGCCCTGGGAAGCTGGGTGCTGTCGCTAGCGAAAGTTCTATATGCTCCAGCCATGGATCTGATATACTGAAGATGGGCGGAAATGCTGCTGACGCAGTGAGAATGCCTATCCAGGTGGGCTTGGGGTTAAACTCGAAACTAACAATCACATAGTTGGTCGCAACTGAATTTTGTATTGGTGTCATAGGTGAGGCTACATTCATTCAGTCAATAATTACAGTTAAGCATAGCTAACCGACATAGGAATGTACCACAGTGGAATCGGCGGAGGTGGCTTCATGCTCGTGAGATCAGCTAAGGGTGATTACGAGTTTATCGATTTCCGAGAGACGGCTCCAGCCGCGGCATTTGAGGATATGTATAAAAACAACGAGGATGCTTCCATTTACGGCGGACTGGCAAGGTAGGATAAATGCGCGGAGCGGATGGGGGTCAAGGTTAACAATCATTCTAGTGGAGTTCCAGGTGAAGTGCGAGGTCTCGAGCACCTCCACAAGAAATATGGCTCTCTTCCATGGTCAACTGTCGTGCAGCCGGCTATCCGCACAGCCCGTGACGGTTTCCCTGTTACGGAAGATCTTGTGAGATACATGGCATCTGCCGTTGGCAGTGGAGATGACTTCCTGTCTAAGAACCCCACGTGGGCAATTGACTTTGCTCCGAATGGAACCAGGCTTGGGCTGGGTGATACAATTACCCGACGCCGCTATGCGGATACCCTTGAGGCTATCGCAAAGAGTGGCGCGGATGCATTCTACTCGGGCCCCATCGCGGATGCTATGATCAACGCAGTCCAGAGCGAAAACGGGACGATGACGCTTGAAGATCTGAAGAACTATACTGTGGCTATTCGGGATATCTCTCAGATTGACTACCGTGGCTACAAGATCACGAGCACGTCAGCACCGTCGAGTGGTAGTATCGCTATGAGTATTTTGAAGATTCTCGGGACATACAAAGATTTCTTTTCGACAGAAAAGTCTGTGGATCTGAGTACCCATCGGTTGGACGAGGCGATGCGATTTGGTTATGGCGAGGTATGAACAGCCAGCTTTGAGTTCACTGGCGGACTCTGGTCAATAGTCGCTTACATGAAACGCAGAGATCTAAATTTGGCGATCCACTATTTGTTGACGGGATGGCCAAGTATGAGAAGGAGATTTTGAAGCAGTCTACGATTGATGATATTCGATCGAAGATCTCGGATGTGCGAACTCAGAACGTATCTGCTTATAACCCAGCCGGGCTGGAAAGCCTGGACACGTAGGTCCTACTTGGTGCATGATTCTCTGACATTAGGTTAACTCCGCATCAGCCCTGGAACTTCCCATATCGCAGTGGCCGACCACACTGGCCTTGCAATCTCAGTCATCACCACAATCAATTTGCTCTTCGGTAGCCATGTCATGGTCCCAGAAACCGGTATCATCATGAACAACGAGATGAACGGTATGTTTGAGAAAGCCAGTCCTAGGCCCCGGAGTTGATCAAAACTTTCCCTAGACTTCTCCATTCCAGGATCATCAAATTCATTTGGATACATCCCATCTCCATCCAACTACATTCGCCCTGGAAAACGTCCACTTTCTTCCATCACGCCCGTGATAGTTGAGCGACCCAATGGCAAGCTATTTTTGATTGCGGGATCCGCAGGAGGAAGCCGTATCATCACTGCCACCGTTCAGAGTGTCATTAATTCCATTGATCAAGGACTCTCCGCTGCCAAAGCATTGGCCAAACCCCGTCTGCATGATCAGCTAGTGCCAAACCAGGTCAGCTTCGAGTTCACTTACGACAACGCAACGGTTGCTTCCATGAAGGCGCGCGGCCACAACGTTACCTGGGTTGCCCCAGGACAGAGTTCTGCCCAGCTGATTCGGGTCTTGCCTAATGGAACATTCGATGCTGCTGGTGAGCCGAGACAACTCAATTCGGCTGGTTATTCTGTATAGAATAGGATACATTGGTAGTGTGGATGTCACACTACACACATTGTCAAGATCGTGTCACGGTACAAACGATCCATTGTATGTAGATAAGCTGATTTAGCAAATTCACGTATTTTGCAACTACGGCTCTTTGTTGTAGATTCTTTGGCAAGCGTATGTTGGAGATTGGCGTTCCTTAATCTGATGGTCTGTGCTTTCGAGATTCCCTCTCTTATAGAGAGCTCCAACTCAATTGATCTTTACTTCTCTGTTCAAAGTCTACCGTGACATGAAAAGTTGGTTTGAACTTGTCTCTTTCTTTATTTTATGTTTGCTGGTTTTATCAACACAATATCGCGTCACCTTGTCAAACTAACACGTGAAACGACCCACCCGTGTCAAAGAGAGCTAGCTAGACAGCTTTCCTCGCGATTTCCCCGAGATCAGCACGGATTTCACCGGCATAAGACGCTTGCAGGTGATTTTTCTTGCTCTTTGGCTGTCTTTTAGCTTGCATTAACCAGACATCTTTCCACCCAAGCAGTCCACACCCGAAGAAACATCTACCTCGATATGTCAACGAATCATTTGAGCTTCCCCGACTTCCTACCCTAGACAACTTACCATCTACTGTGGCATCAGGAATACAATGGCTCGACTCAGCAAAGTCTCTGTTGATGTTCCCCTCCCATCCTTCGACATAGATCCCCTCAAGACCTTTGACGAACACTGCTTTGACCGGGCCGTTGACAACATCTTGTCCGAGGAGGCGAGCATCGAAGAATCCCTAGACGAGATGATGGAGGACGATATTGGTATCTCGAGTCCATTTAGTCATGATGGTGCGTCTGACTCCTCGAAGCTCAACGTTCGTCGAGGCCGAAGGACTGGAGCCACCTCGCCGCATTTTTCTATGTCCTCGACCTCCTCAGCTACAACCACCTCCGCAAAGAAACCGAAGCCGAGAAGGTCTTCTAGAAATAGGAATACTGTGACAATAGAGGATGTCAGTGGGCACAGTGAAGCTCTTGGGGGCCTCGAAAACGCCACAAAACCTGAGAATGAGGAAGTCATACGAGTTGAACCTTATCCCATCCACAAGGCTGGTGGTCAGCCTTATGCAATTCCAGAAACCAACGAAAATCCCGCAATGCCAACCAGTGACAACGAAATTACTGCGGAAGAGAAGATCTTTGCTTCGGTGGACCCAGAAAAGCAGTTGGAGGTGTTGAAGTTCGTTGTGTCACACTCTTTCATGACGGATCAAGTTCAACCTGTTCGACGTTCGGCCAGGCGAGAATTTACTGGCCAAGTTCGCGGCATCGCCGCGGAGGTTGGAATGAATGACACTGCTATCAACTCTTTGATTGACCATGTTCGAAAAACCTACCTTGAGGACCGTGGAATCGTGGCAGCTGATAATGCTGGCTCTGCATTCGGGGATGAAGTGGACAGCACAGAAGAAATTCACACCAAGAGCGCGCAACGAAAACGGCGTAAGAGCAGCTCGGATCAACCCGAGGACAAAGAGCACAAGAAAAGCAAGAGACGTCACTCGGATAAGACAAGACGGCGCAGCCATGATGCTATGCAACACGATGAGCCAACTAAGGCTTCAGAAGTTCTTGTCCCAGATGTTCCTTCTAATAGCCAGGGTAATGGAAACACTGAGCCACAAGGACCGAAACAAATGGACCACACGCCGGATCCACCAAAAATGCCCATGAACATCATTCGGGGTAGCCCCAGTACACCCATCGGCCTCTCCGACTCTCCCCCTTATGACGAGTTCGTGCTTGGAGCTGATTGGGTTCCATTCCAAAACCGAAGCGTTGGCTCCATCAGAGGGCTCACGGATCTCGAGGAGAGCTACAAAAAGGTTCTTACACCTCACTTGTCACCTAACTTCCGGCAAGAGGTGATTCCTGAGAGCCCGTTACCTGATAAAGTGGTAGAAGAAATGCACTCGAAACGTCGCGAACCAGGCAAAGCATCACAGCGAGAAAAGAACAAGCGCAAGCGCGAACGAAGAAGGGAGCGCAACAAAAATCGACTGAACTTTAGTGAACCGAAACAAGGTGATTCCACTGGCGGGGCAGAGAAAAAGCCCCAGGGCGCCTCCGTTGATCGAGCAGACCAAGGCCAACTTCCACCTTCTATTCCGCAACAAACCCCATTGGGAAGCCCCAATGAAAGGAGACGGAGCCCCAGTCAGCTCCCGTTACCGGCCGATCCATCTCTATGGGACACGGATTTTTGAATACCAGTGATTTGCCAGGTGTGATTCCAAGTGATGAGGTTCAATCTAAGTACTTCTTAAGAGCCGGCCATCTCGAAGTTGGCTCGAAAAACAAGCGGGAACCGGATTCCTCGCTGCACGATTTGTCTATCCCCCCCCAAACCCGACAGCTGTTGAAAGATTTGAATCTGCCCCTGGACTTTTTGTCGTCAGATTCTTCCTTGAGTGATGCGCCGAGCGATTTTGATTTCGATCCCGATTGGGATGATCTTGATAGTCCCCTGTTGTGCATTCAGATCAAGATCTCATCCCCAGACAGCCCCTATTTTGTCCCTCAATCTACAACCCTTGAGCGTCGAACGCCGGTGAAATCCACCTCTTTTATCAACCCAGAACTCGTTAAAATCCCTCAAGCCAAACCCCTGAAGCATTCTCCTTATTTCCCACGTGTGCTAGTTGATCCTGACTCTTGCCTCCCGTTTCCCCCCATTGACGCGCCTTCTTTCGGGCTCGTCCAGGAACAGCTTGCACATGACCCCTTTCGTTTACTCATTGCAACAATTTTTCTCAATCGAACCCGTGGGGGTGTTGCCCTACCGGTCTTGTTCAAGGTTTTTGAACGATACCCTACGATCGAGGCGATGGCAGAAGCAGACCTACCGGAACTGGTGTCGATGATAAACTGCTTAGGCTTTCAGAACCAACGTGCGAGGAAATGTATCACGTTGGCCCAAACCTGGCTATTGGACCGCCCGAATAAAGGCAAAAGATATCGCAAGCTCCACTACCCACAAAGATTGGACGGTCGAAACATTGGTCGTGAAGACTGCATTGACGAAGAAGATATGCGGGTCGCATGGGAGATCGCACACTTACCTGGAGTTGGAGCATATTCCCTTGACAGCTGGAGGATCTTCTGTCGCGATCAGTTGCGAGGGAAAGCCTCCGACTGGAAAGGCACGGAAGCGACAGAGGTTGGGTTTGTACCTGAATGGAAGTGCGTTCTACCACATGACAAGGAGCTACGTGCTTATCTTACATGGATGTGGCTGAAAGAAGGATGGATTTGGGATTACAACACGGGTGATCTGACACTTGCAAGCGACAAGATGATGAGAGCTGCGCAGAGTGGAGGGATTGCCCATGAAGAAGAGGGGAATTGGGTACTAGAGACCTCCCCTGTCAAGGCTGTGAATGATTTGCATGAATCAGATTGATTCGAAGTGTCGATGTACATGATCCTGAATAACAAGTACTCAAACCCTTTTACTAGATATATAGTTGCCTCAGGCAGTAGAATCTGTGTTCCCAGAAAGGTTTCAGCTGAGAAGGCCACTCTTCATGGATCATCTCAGGATCTGATTTCAGGCTTTCATGCAGCAAAACCACGTCAGTTGGCAAAAGCGGGGCCGAGATCGTTCACCGCATAGTCGCATGGTGTGTTTTTTTCCACTTCAAACCATTTCATGCGTCGTACCTGATTGAGGCTATTCTTTTCCTTTATTTTTTTTCAACTGAACCCATTTCTTTCCCCAGACCCCAGATACACGGAATGCCGGATTGGTTCCCGCATATTGCGACGTTAAGTGACCAGTCACAACGGCCCGAGCTAAGCGCCAGAAGAATTGGAGACAGACATAGGATCACATTCCCCTCAGTGGCGGTGCGAGTCTAGACAGGTAACAGACGACTGACCCTTTCGCGCGGTCCACAACTCGATACGGATTTCGCCATGTTTCCTGTTAGACTAAACCGCGACGATAGGAAGTCCAAGACCGTCAAGGCCAAGAAGACAAACAAAACAAACGGAAGGACCTCAACCAAGGACCCAGAGGATCCTCCCACGGCTCGCTCATCAAATTCCCAACGCAGGTCCTCCATGCCTGGACTTGAGAGGTCGGAGGCTGCCTCGTTCCTTGAGTCGAGAACTAGTCTACCGTACCCTACTTTCTCGAAGGCTCACAGCAAGGAAGGCGTTCGAGCGAGCATCCCTACACCGGACCCGACCGACTTGACACATGACGAGGGGAAGAACAGTCACCGTGAGAATCACCATGCGCCTCCTAGTCCGCCGCTGACCGGCCTTAACCAAGAGTCGAAGAAGGGTAGTATTGTCAACGAGGATGAGAAGGACACAGAGAAACCTAAGAAGAAAACAAGTATAAGAATTAGAGCCTCCGAAGTCAATAGGTCCTCCTCGAGTCTCAGGTTGAACCGCGATGACAGCACCAAGTCCAAGTCGCGAACAGAGACCCCTACCAAATCCAGATCGAAGGATGAAAGTGAAGCTTTGCCTCGGTCATCGAGCTACAAGTCCAAGACGAAGGTTCCCGATGACAGAAAGCTGCCCACACGTTCGAGCCGCTCGACAATGTCTGCCTCACAGTCAAACGATACGCTTCGTGATGTCGGCGCAGAGTCAGTCAACGGGTCCGATGCTACGTCTATTGCGCCCAACCAGCAGCATTCGATGCCACGAAAACCGCTGAGTCCGCCTACAAAGCCTCCCTCCCGCACCCAGAACCGATCGGCCATGTCCCATAACCGTACTGCTAGCAACGAATCGATCGATTTTGTGAAACCAGTGAATCCGAACTCGTATGGTGCACCCCCACCGCCGCCACCGCCGCCCGAAATGCCTGCTACTATCCCTCGAGTCGACTATTTGTTGAAAAATGGTGGATTGGAAAATAAGGTCTCGAGAGCACTGCTGGCTAGCCTTGGGCAGAAGGATCCCCTCTCGCAAGGACAACCTCAGTCCCGGGCTATCGCTGGCAAAATCTTCGACCCATACCACCGCTTGCTAGACGACTACCAGAAAGTTATGAGTAAGAATGGATCTCTTGCCGTCGCAACAGGGTACCGGTCTGTCGCCCGGCGTTTATTGGATCGTCTCGAAGCCGTGTTCGCGCGCGATATCTCATCTGAGCCATGTAGCTGCCAGATATGTGACCAAGCGGAGTCAGACAACCGACCGGATGGCGTGAGCTGGGGCGAGGTCTTGGAGCTCGTGTCCGGCCGCAGGGAACTTCCGATGTGGCCTCCCTTCACTATGGCGCCAACCGCCGTGGATACCGGTGCGCCAGGCGATGAGCACGTTCCAATGCAGAAGCTTGACGTCGACATTCCTGAAGAGTACCACGAACACTTCATCCGGCAGAGTCGAAAGACGAAGGTTGCCGTCGACAAATGGCTCTATGAGCAGAATGATCCAGGCACTAGTGCCCCTCACGAGGTTGACGATGAGACATTAACCTTCGCTATGCTTACGCATCTCGAACCCCACCAGCGCTCCTTATTCTGCTCTTTGCTGGGCATCAATTCTTCTACTCCTGTCCCGCGATCCGATGACGAAAAGCCCAGACCGAAACCTTTGGCGCTTGTCTCGTCGGCCTCGGCCATCCAGCGTCTTTATCGACTATCTTCCCTCCCTCGCGACCCGGAAACTGCTATGTACATGTTGAACAACCCTACCATCCACCATGTCCTCGCCACCCTTTCCGCGATCAGCGATGATGAGTGGGAAATCCTCATCTCCGGCCGCTTCGACGGATTCCTCCGCAGCGGTGCCGAAGACACAGGCCCCAGTGCCACTCCCACCGGGTCTCGCTGGAATGGCAGTCGCTCTACCACACCCTTGGGCGGTGGTATCTCCCGAGGACCAACACCCAACTACATGGACGGCAGTTTCCGACCCTCCAGCCAAGTCAACGGCGTATCCTCAACCCCAGCCTCATTCGGCGGCCCGATCGCACTAGACGAGGAGACCGAAATCGCCGCGTTAGCAGAAGTTGAGCGCGACATCTTTCTCGGGATGGAAGCTCTCGAAGACGCCTTCGAAGCGCTCCACTGCAAAGCCGAAGCCGTGCGGCGCGCACTGCGCGAACGCGGCGCAGGCCTATCTGTTGCGAACCAAAGCCGCCGGGGCTCATTCGTCGAAGCGCGTCTGGGCACGCCCTTTTCTGGGGTCGGCACATGGGAAAGCGGTGGCGAAGACGACTTCTTCGATGACGAGCGCTCTCTTGCGCCCGATGACTCGGCGAGTAACATCAGCTCGAACCGACGCCGTCGGCCTAAGAGACGCACAGAGCGGCGCACCCCTGCACCTGTCGAGGAAGAGGACGAGGAAGAGGACGGTCTTGGCCGTCGGGATACCCGCAGCTCGAGGCGGAGATAGAGCGGCAGCGGGATGGGACGGGATGGGATGCGTTCTTTTCGATTGATGGTCTACATGCAGCGCTGGAATCCTTCAAAGACTGTTTGCTGGATAGAATGGGATATGGATGTAACTGTTGCTGTTGCAATGGGCTTGGCGAACTCATGATACCCCCCTTACTTTCTTGTCCCGGGCTTTTCCTCTGTGTTTCCAGCTTGCACTTTTGCATGGTTCTTCTGCCCTTGTCCTACCGACCCTCTTTTAAATTTTGCTTTTTTGATGATTTATGAATGCCATGAGCTTCACTCCCACGACCTGACGCCTGGCCGTGCGCTTAGGCTATGATACAAGTTTTGTTTAGCATATCCCAGCGGTTGAATTGTTAGTACTGTGCAATATGAACGAACTAGATCTAGGTAATACGAGGATCTTAAGGAGCCTACAGACAATTTCTAAACGAATCAAACGAAACCATGACCCAGTGCGTCGGGCAATAGACGTACAATCATCTCGGGCCTGTCTAGCTGGTCTCCCGGTCCTTTTTTTTTAAATGGCGCGATGGGGGGTGGGGGGCATGCTGGTAGGGATGTACAGTAAAATCGCTTTACTGTATACTTCATGGATGCTATTAGTATGACTCATGTTCCTCCATCTGGGCTCAAGGTAAATATACACACCTATGGGGTACTTAGGCACTAACCGTTGAAGATCATACGTATTCTGCCGAACCTCGCTATCCACGGGTGTTGTGGTATAGTTGACATGTTCCATATTTCTCCGCTCGATATTCAACGTCTATGGATGCGCTTGCCCACCACACACCAAATATATCACCCGAGTTGGGTAGAGTTCAGCTGCTAAGCTCGACAACTCGGCCCACTGTTTGTCATGCCGATGAGCTCAAACCAGCGCTCCAGCGGCGACACTTAGGGTGTCCACAAGCGTATCCTGCAGGATGTAAAGAACCCTGCAATTGACTGTGGAGTGCACCCCATGGATCTTGTGTTTCAAATTACGGATACGGGCCTGTGCAAGTGCGCGGCATCGAAGTTGGTCTCAGCGAAGAACTCCGGTCTGATGAACAAGTGAAATACGGCCATCTCCAGCTTGTCTTTGCCGATGGATCGGTAAGCTCGATGGGGGCCGACGATGTCGGAGATAGACCATTCTATCAAAGAGCCGATGGGACAGGATGATTTCCATGGCGGGACGAACTGAGCCACTATAAGTATTGTGCTCTTGAGCAGCATCGAGACATCACGCTGCAGATGACGGGCGCTGTTCAGTCAGTTACCATTATCCTTGCAACGTATCCCTCTAGGAGTGAAAACTCTTGCAATTGACATTATGTCGCGACTCTTCATATGCCAATAATGGCAATAATGGATAAAAAGACATCAACGCACTTGTTGTTCAAAGCCCCGCTACCCCTCCCAGCTCGCTGCCGCATCTAAACCAAACAGGCATATGCTAGGTGCTAAACCACTAAATTAAAAATTCGAATAGACGGAACCAGATAGAGACTTATTTGGGCGAAAGAATGCATGGACTCTATCGATCTCGGTCGTTCTGTATTGAAGCTTTTTGTTGATTGGACAGTTCAATTACAGTGAGCGCTCTATAGAAAAATCGAAACTATCAAAGGGGGATTTTCCAGGCCTTGCGCATTAAATCACAACTACGTTTGATCCTAATAGTTCAATTGAAGAAGGTGAAACTGACAATTATCCACAATTTACGGTCGAAAGTTACTATAGGAGAAGAGAAGAATCAAAGAGGATTCTGCAAATTCAAGCAGCAAGACTGACCGTGCTTGACTGGATTCTTCTTGTGTACGGTGTGTAAATATTCACTTATAAAGAAATCTTTTGTGGGTTTCGCCCGGTGTGAACTTCATTGGAAATCCTACTTCGCCCCATCCTGGACCTCGGCATCCTTTTTATTTCCTGCCATGTACTCCCCGTACGGAGAACTTCATCCCCTGTCGACAGGGCAAGTTGCTTCAACGAGTCCCACTATGTTGTACTAGCTACGACGGTTAATAGTCCTCCTCACCGATACTTCATTTTGTACGACAGTGACGAGCCAGGGTTCACCTGCTGTTGATCATTCATATATTCTTACCGTTAGGCTGGTGGAGACCATAGATTACTAGTGTGTCCTGAGGTAACGGATCCTCTTATTCTTTTTTGGCTTTTGGGTATCTGTTGATTTCTCTTCAGCCTACTGACCGTATGCAATTCCGTTCTCCTTTTGTACAGGAGCAATCATCACTTCGGAAGGATGACCACGAACGATCACATGTCACACAGGTCAGTAGCGAAAGGACACTTATATCGCTAGAAGGGATCTACGATTAGTCTCTTCGTTACCGATCGCAACGGTGCAAAATCTCCGTATATATGGGGTACAGAGGATGTTGGTCTCGATCACTAATCGCGCGGGTCGCAGAATCCGGATATCTCGGAGATGATCATGTGCCATTGATTATGCAGGATTTTTTACGTGAAAGATAAAACGAAGTCGAGATCATAAGTTTATTGGTTTGGTGTCTGGTAACAAAAGAAGAAACTTGCCCCCTCTTCCCCTTCCTGCTCGAATCTTCAACTTTGACAGGCTGTGTCGTATGTGTGCACACAACTCGAAAAAAAAACAAAAAACAAAAAACAAAAGCTAGGGCGAGCATGGATTCCCCCCCCCAAAAAATGAAATAGGATCATTGGCCATTTTACTGGCGATGTGTCGGGCGCATTTAAAATTACGCGATTGAACATGATATAGATATCTTCAATACAAAGCCTCGAATTGAGTAGCTTTGGAAAATCACATCGTGCAAGCTAAAAGCACAAGCGGGGACCTCGGAATGCCCTTCTCGCATCAACATGATCCGTAGGGATAGGGTTTTGCCCCAAATTCCACCGGTGGAAGCTAACAGAACAACCGTGAATAGGTTTTTTTTGGGATCGTTAAAGCTTTCATCTCATTCTAATGTGATGCTTTCCCAACCCCGAGCCTTGTCTTAATCACATGGCCGGCGCTAGAATTTGGATCGACAACGAGCGGGGCGAGGAGGAAAGGCGTGTGAAGAAATCCGGTTTGAGACATGGCGTTAAGAGTGCTTTGACACCGGGAGGCTTCGAACATATCCGAAGTACATTCAACATCTTTCGTGCTTCGCGTGGAGTCTACGAACAAGGATGTCAAAGTCCCGCTTGACGTTCAGCTACGACGGCCTGACAACCTAAACTGTTCATCGAGATTTTGTGCCCTATAAGTTCAGATATTCATGATTACCCCTGAAGCATATCAGAGACACTCCCACCATGGGCGATCCTGCCCTAACTCGGGGCTAAGGTTCCTTCTTAGCGGGCCATGATCGCCAACTCCACTTTCGCTGCGGCTCTAATTCAGACTGCGATGCGGAATCATTCTTTTGGCAATTCTACGCTTTTTAATCTCATCCGATAGGGGGGAATTCTCCACTAGTCCGTGCTAGCGAGAATCAAACCGAATATAAACAGGCCCCTTTTATTCTGTTCATCCAGTTTCTCACAACATAGGCGGATGTCAGAGAAAGCATTCAGGTCTAGTCCCGTCGACTCCATTAAGAACCGGTGGCTTCCACTTGTAGTTGGAGATATAAAAGCGGATTGAAGCTTAACCCGAAAGGCAAGTGTCCACAAATGCCCACTATATCTAAACAACCCTTTCAAATCCCCCCCCCCCTTCAATTATCACTTTCTCCCGTGTCCACAGGCTTTTTCAATATTTTTTTTGCGGGGTGGATTACACATAAAATCATTCCTTCCTCCTAGGGCACCTCCTGGTTCACCCCCTGGTTGCTCATATATTTGTACTATTTTCTTTGTTAACTTGAGGGTCCTGAATATGATATGGCTCCCTGCCGATCGACCTAATATTGTAAAGGCCTTTAAGCGGTTCAGGAAAGAGGCTACTGGTGGTTTTGGTAGAAAAATATGGTGATGCTTCCAACCTCGTGGAGTGCTCCGTACGAGGACTATACACTTGTCCCAATTCATCCCCGCTAGTGTTCCAAAAGCCTCGCTCGTGCAGCGGACATAATGTCCTAGCGATCGAAGCCCCCTATCAAAGTGCCAATGTGCGCTTTGAACTGGACAGAAATAACAGAGATCGTAGGATCTAGATGAATTTTGCGCCATGTTGGGCTTCCCCCTCTCCTCCCCCATGCAACGCGATTTCTACGCTGCAAGTAAATCTCTTTAATCTGCCCTTTTGTTTGTAAACCATGCAACCAAATCGTTCCGCTTGTTCAGCGAGTGGGCTGGTATGGAGTATACCAATTTAGCTAAAGTTCGCATCCGTTTGATTCGACATCTCGTGGTAAACCTGCGTCCTGGGACCCACCAGGGTGTCACATTTGGCCCAAAGGTGAGCTAAATGGTGCAAGTGGGGTAAAAAGTGCTTTGGATACAGGGATTCACGGATCTGGACCGTAAACTATTATAGAGATAGCAATCCCTCTCCCGGTTGTCCATATTTGATACGGAGAAATCCACACTTTACTCAAAATTGTCGTGGATCACCTAGCTGCTGACTGACAAAAAAGGCCGAGTTGGTTGAAGTCCCATTTTTCGGGTCTTGCCTATCAACTTTCGAGTTCAATCAATCCCAATTGTTTAGGTGTTGTTTCTTTCTCCCTGCCTGCAACTGGATTCCAGGTTTTTATGTCCGTGGTTACCCTTCCCTCTCTGAGCTGTTCATTCTCTTCTATTGCCGGCAACTCATGGGGTAGGTATTGTGTTTAACACTTTCAACTTCTCACTCTTGGGTACTTGCGTCGGCCTTATATATCGCTTTTTGCTGCCCAGCGTCTATCAGACTCTGCACCCCAGGATCGTCACCTTTCAGCCTTCAATTTCATCACCCAATTCGGCAATGGTAGCAGACCCTTGAAAGTGAAACAACCCGAGAAGAAATTTCACCATGCCAGCAATGATTCTCAAGAGCTTGATTCTTCTAGGCAACGAGCAGTCACTGGCCACTCGATTCACCCCCTTCACGGAACTTGATATCAACCCTCTCCCAAAATCGCATCGACGAGGTCTAATAGTAATCGCAATCATGGCCTCTCTTTCTCTCATTGCAACATCTATGCTCCTCGTTTTCATCACCTATCGACTTGTTTTCTGGCGCGGGACCTACGCGCGATACATCGGTTACAACCAGTACATCATTCTTATTTACAACCTTGTTCTGGCAGATTTCCAACAGTCACTTGCTTTTATAATTTGTATAAAATGGATCTTGGAAGACAAAGTCCAGTCTGGCTCCACCGGATGCTTTCTCCAGGGGCTATGGCTTCAAATTGGAGACCCCGGCAGTGGTCTTTTCGTGTTTGCCATTGCCTTCCACACACTCCTTTTAGTTGTCTGGGGACGCAAAATGTCCCACAAGTTCTTCATCTGTTACATCCTCGGTGTCTGGGGCTTTGTGGTTACAATCGTAATTATCCCAATAGCACTACACGGGTTCGATGTTTTCGTGCCGTCTGGGGCTTGGTGCTGGATCAACGATGAATACAAGACCATCCGTTTGTGGACTCACTACTTTTGGATCTTCGTTGCTCAATTCGGCACAGTCGCGTTCTACGCCGTCATGTTCTTCCAGCTGCGCCGGCAGATGGCCGCCTCCGCCATCCTTGGCAATAGCCAACTGGAGAGCCTCAAGCGTCTACGCCGTGTCGTAGGTTATATGACTACCTACCCAATCGTCTACATCATCCTGTCGATGCCCCTCGCAGCAGGTCGTATGGCCGCAGCCAACGGCAATCCACCCAGTGCCACATTCTTCTGCTTTTCCGGTGCCATCATTACCAGCTCTGGGTTAGTCGATGTCATTATGTACACTCTCACCCGCCGCAACCTGATCCTCGACTCGGAACCCAATCCAAACCGCTCCTACAACATATTTACCCGCAGCAAGGCCAAGAGAGGCGGCGATACCCAATTAAACACCATCACGGTTGACAATACACGCAAACTGGGCGACAGGTTCATTGATGATTTTGGCCGTCACGGCTCAACGGATAACATCGTTCCACCCAGCAAAATGGGCCGCCACGGCCATGATTTTGAAAGGAACTCCCTCGTTAAAGTGTACCAAGAAACCACCATTGAAATCACGCATGAACCAGCATATTCTACTGAAACCCCCAGTCAGCGCTCTAGTAAGGAGGACTTCTCCCCTGGGTCGCCTCACTCAAGATGGCTGAGATGAACTTCTCTCATGGACATTTATCCTTTTCGTTTCCCCCCCCGAGGCATCTGAAATGTGACCTTTGATCTTTTTCAGTGGTATGATGCCCTCGATGCCCATTTTCTGTCGCTATAAAATCAATTCCTTTCCTCGCAATCTCGTCGTAACTGTTTAATGTCTCATTTGATACTCTTCTTTTCCCTCACTACTCCTCCCATTTTTGAAGCCTCTCTACACTCTTACCTTTGACCATCTTCTATGATAGAACCATTTATGTATGTACACAGTTTGAAAAAGGACGAGCCCGTTCCTCATGTGAAATTCCATGCAGTGGAGGTCTGCGGTTGAACCTTTGGGAACTTGGCGCCTCCAGCATGCCGGACGTTATTTCAGTTGCAGCAAATCTCTATGATCCCATGCTCCATGTGCTAAAGGTAGACATTGTGAAAATCGATAGCACCTTTTGAAGCACCTGGATCTTGATAACAACAGGAGAGATTGCCGAATCTTGAGTTCCGAGAACAAATGAAAGCGGTCGATGAGGCCCCGGCATAGAAATAAAGCGAGCAATTGTGAGTGATCAATATTAGAATTAAGAATGTGGAGCTGAACATGGTGTTCCATGTACAAGTAGCCAATGAAGGAGGCTTGTGAGAACTATAATTGCGGCGGGTCGATGCCGCGGACCAATGATGCTTCTCAAGCCTTCATGAGTCATGTTGATTCACTTGCGCTAACCCTAAAACAGGTAGTTACGTCCCGGGAAGGGGAGTAATTACGGAACCATCAACCATGTAGTTCACTTGCGATATAAGGTTGTTATCTTTTTTAAATCTGTGACTAAAACCAAGTCGTCAAGTGTCAAAGCAGTGGCTCGGAAACATCCCATTGAGCACCTACATGCCCCCAAGGCGAACAGCCTGTCCGTTGGCGACAGCGACTGTTCTCGAACAGACGTTGCAAGCGACTACGAGCTGACTGGAATTCCGCTAGTTCTCATTACCAGACTTTCTGTCTCCATTTTTCTCATGTCACTAGACTCGTCCACCAGTGCCGCGGCCATTCCTAGGATCACGTCGGAATTCTTCACCGATGATATTTATTGGCTGATAAGGAAGTGCGTGTTCCTTTGCGATGGTTGCTTTGCAGCCTGTTGCAGGTAGTCAATTTGGAAGTTTCCCCATGAAAGTGAGATTGTCTAAGTTCACACCTGGAAATGAAATCATACTACCAGTGTAAGACCATGTTTCTCGGAAGTCATGCCGTTTTCGAGCTTGGCTCATCGCTCTGCACCCTTGCTATCAACACTTCTATGCTCAGCATTGGGCATGCCATGGCCGGATTTGAGGCAGCTGGGTGCTTCACAGAAGCCTTCAGTATTGTTGCAGTCTGTTCTTCACTTGTCAAGCGACCCTTCTATATTGGAATCCTTCAGCCAACCTTTGTTATTGCCATCATTATTGGACCCGTACTAGGTGGTACATTCACAAAGCATGCGACGTGGCGCTAGTGTTTCTGAATCAATCTCCCAATCGGGGCAGTCAAAGTCCTCTCACTGCTTTTCTTCTTGAAGCCGCCTACAAGTGAATCAACTAGAGGTCCTTCAATTTTTCATAGACTCCAAAACATAGACTTACTAGGCGCTGTTTTTTTTGCTCCTGTAATCATCGTGATCGGTTTGGCACTTCAATGAGGAGGCAACGAACACGCTTGGAAGAGTGCTACCATATTTGGTCTCTTCATTGAAGGCGCGGGTGTTGGTATTAACTTTGCTCTCTGGCAAGCACAGATGGACGAGGATGCTATTAATCCGCCACCTCTGTTGAATGAGCTCACGATTAAGGATTCTGGAATGTGAGCCCTGGGAGCGTTGCAACAGTCAGGTCTTGCAGCCTGAATTTCGCATTAGAAAATTTAGAATAATGACACATAGCTAAAATTTTAGTGTTTTGAATCATGCTGCTCTAGTGTGATGGGGTACGTTAGTCCGTTGACACCAGCACTTGCATCATGATTAATGTAAACGAGAGCTTACCCTCTTGATGGGGCTATTTCAGCCATCAGCGCAACTTGGCAATCTCAATGACAAACAACATCTGTATAGTGGTAACGCAAGTGTTTTAACAGCACTCTAAGTCAAAACGAAGCTACGAAGCTCGTTTCCCTGTCAAAGCATAACAGACTTCCTTTCGGATAGCAATCCAGTAGGTTTCGGTGGAGAGTGATCAACTGGAGTTAAAACTATTCTGTCAACAATTGCTTGAGTGATGGTGAGGACGTTGACTTGATCATAGGCATGGTGATCAATCTCTCCTTCCTGCATCTCTTCTTCCATTTCTTCATATGGTCATATAATCACAATGGCTGCCAGCAAATTTTCCTGGTGTATTAGATCAATTCCGGAATGCATTTTATCACTCATTCAACCGACATCGACTTGTTAAGTCAGGAAAACCTGCCCATGGTAAACGCTTCTGCACATTGCAGTGTGCTATGGTAGAAGACAGAGATGCCGGGAAGATAGCGCGAGTATCGCATTTTTGAAAGCAAGGCAGTGCTCAACTCGACGAGGAACCACTAGTGGAAAGTGACGTTGCTCATCGATTCAATGATGGAAAGATCTCCAAACTGGCCCGCCTGTCTCAATACCTTAACTAGCGAGCAGTGCCAACCCGACCTCGAGATACTTGCATTGAGAGGGAATGGAAACTTCTCCGGTTCTCACTTCACCCGACAGCCAGCTTTATAAATAGAATTCAAGTGTTTACCAGAAGATTTAACTCTACCATTCGCTGACAATTTGCTGCAGAGACATTTAAAAATATGCCAAGATACCTGCTTTCCACGGGGATGACAACCTTGGAATTCAGCTGCTACTGATGTCAGTGCAGCATTAGTCCGATTTAAATGCCACGTAGTTCAGAAAATGTATGTCTCATACAACAACACTAGAGCCTAAAAATTGCGCAGGAGAAAAAGAGAATCAATCTGCTAAACTAAATGCAGTCCAAATCCACTTGACGTTGCAGAAAGGTCAAGTAAGCTCGGTCGGGCCGACTGATCAAAGCTAAAATTGACTTGTTGATCAATGGACAAATCAATCGACCAATCGCATCCAATGAACAAATATCGCTAAATCCGAACCCAACCTACGGTGCCTGGGTGGGCTCCTTTGGGCGATGAGGTTCTAGTTTTTGGATGAGGAAAAAACCCAGAGCAGGCCCGAGAGAGCAATGAGTTGGCCACAGAGTACTAATGAACATCTTCTTTTTTGATCAACTGGGTTTATTTGAACGAATAAAGAGCGGGGATCATGTTGCAAGGGATAGGCGCTAACAAAAACGCCTGTATAGCGGCAAACGGATGAATAGATACCTCACTTGATGAAGGGAAACAGGAAGATTGATAAATTGACTGAGATCGGATCATTCTTCCTGAAAGGCTAGTTCCATAGCTTACCGTCTCTCTGCATACATATTCGCGGTTTTGGGCGGGTTTCAGTTTCACAATGAGGAGATCAGGGGTCTAGCGATCCGCTGTGGTGGGCCAGTTTGCTTTTGGTCGCCAATCAAGGGTCGATAGTCCCAAGAATGCAAAATACATAGTTGGTTAAGATATGTCTAGCACCCGGGTCTGAACGTCGCAGCTGTCTTATTTAAAGGGAACTGGAGTTGCCAATTCACATCTCCGCTTGGATAGATCGCTTGCTTTTGAAATCCCTCCACCATGCTGTTCTTGCATCACGTTCTTCTGGCCCCTTCGCTTGTTTCGCTGCTTCTGACGGAAAACGCGGTCGCTGATGACGCAAGAACTAGAGCACGCGACGCGCTCCAGACTCTTCAAGGCTGGTATAATCCCCAAAGTGGCATTTGGGATACCTGTGGTTGGTGGGATGCTGCAAGCTGCATGAATACAATTGCAGATCTAGCTGCGCTAGACCAATCAGTTATGGACACAGCTACATATGTCTTTAATAACACGTTCTACGTGGGGCCGGTGTCCAATCCAAATCCCGGACCTGAGCACAAGGCTGTCTATACTCGCGATAATCAACCATCGACTTTCGTCAATGCCACCCAGTGGCTCGATCAAGCTTATGACGATGATGGATGGTGGGCTCTTGCATGGATTGCTGCATACGATGTCACAAAACAGGCAAAATACTTGGAACTGGCCGAAGGAATTTTTGAAAGTCTAGTATGGTATAGCCTTGAAGACTCATCTGCATTAGGAGGCTTGCTCATTTTTCCTAGGCAAACGCATGGGGCACAAATTGCGGTGGTGGTGGTCTTCGTTGGAATCCGACCAGTACATACGTCAACGCAATTACAAACGAGCTATTTCTCTCCGTCGCAGCGCACCTGGCAAACCGAGTCCCTGAGAGAAAGCAATCTTATGTCCGTTGGGCGCAGAAGGAATGGGACTGGTTCACGGCCCAGGCCTTTATCGGTGAAAACGGCACCATCAATGATGGCCTTTTAGACAACTGCCAGAACAATCGAGATGCTGTGTATGCATTTCACTTCCTGAATTCTCTATCTTTTTGGCTAACCACCCTCAGATGGTCATACAATCAAGGTGTTGTCCTCGGTGGGCTGGTTGAATTGAACAGAGCGGCGCCCAATAATACATATCTACCATCGGCCAACAAGATTGCTAAGGCAGCCATTGCGACACTCGCCGACACGAACAACGTTGTCCATGAATTCTGTGAGCCGCAATGCCTTCCAGATGGCACTCAATTTAAGGGAATATTCATTCGCAACTTACGGATGTTGCAGGAAGTATCCCCTCAAGATATTTACCAGAATGTGATAAGCAGCTGTGCAAACAGCATCTGGGATTATGATCGTAATGAAAAGGGACAGTTCGGCGTCAACTGGGCCGGTCCTATCGAGGCAGTGGTTGATGCCTCCACACACAGCTCTGCCTTAGATGCATTAGTCGCGGCTGTTGCTGCATTGAGTACCTAGCGATGGAATCCACCGCCACTTCATTTCTCGTTTCAGTCATTAAAGTCCACGAGTTTTCCGATCCATTTCATGTACATGGATTCTTTCGTTCTACATGTATATCAACTAGCAGTTCAACTTTCACAACATCTCTTCTCGCTTTCTATCTAGTATGACTGTGATCGCTTCTTCCAGACTGGCTGTGGGGCGGCGTGAGGTCTGTTGTATCCTGACCAAATTTTGGACGTGGGAACTAATTCCAATCCTCCCAGACTTGCACCCTGCTTATCCTGTGCCCAAAATGTCAAGCCTATGTAATTTTCCCCTTCGTGGTTGAGAATACCCTCTGGAACGGGGAAAGCTGTTTGGGGGCCGAGGTTGTTGACTAAATTAGATAATTTAGAGTTGGTGGATCATAGGTCGGAACCATGGCACCATGTCCAATGAACCAAAATTTAAGCGGGGTACATACTGTATTTTCCGAACTGGTATCCGTTAACGAACAGCTGACATCTGTAGTTGCTGCCTCTAGTATCTTCAGTACTATTCTGAAATGAGTTGTTGAACACCACGCTCATTGGAACATCCCATCCACTGGGGATATTCAGCTGGAAGTATGCAGCATAGAATCCAACACCTGCTTGTGATAAGCCATCTGTGACTGGGTTTGATAGTTTCCATTTTGAGCTTGGTGGACTAGGATAATGGTATCCTTGTCTCTCCGCATACATGCCGCCTTCATTGAGAGGACCACGGGCGAGATCTTGATACTGCTCTCCTCCAAGGTTGCCCGTCAACTTCCACAAGACTTCGGATTGGGCGTGACCTGAAATGCCATAGTTCAAAATTCCTCGTGGGACCTTGATTGCATCAGTGCCAGGAGCCTCCTCATCTTGGCCCATGTGATCAATGAGAACTGTGATTACATACGGGCTTCCGTGCGACAAAACGGAGGCCAGCGACATGTTGTGAACGACTGAGGAGTTGATACTAGACCCGACCCACGAGCCAAGGAATGTGTTATTCAACCACACGGAGTGTCCGAAGCCTAACCCGCCCGACACATTCAACCACACATTGGATTCTTGGCCATTGGCGTTAAAATGACCACGGTATAACAAAGACCCTGTGTGATATCCATAGTCCATGGAGTACAGACTACTCGGGGTGTCCAGCTGCCGTGGATTGTGTGTAGAGGTTTTTTTTGCAGGCTGTCCAGGCTGAGTCGTCGTACGAGGCATGAATCTCAGGCAGCGAATCAACGAACTTCCATTCCAGGTTGGACAAATCGGGAATTTTAAACTTTGGTGGGTCGTATTTGACAGTTCCCCAGAGATTCCCATTGGACATTTTAGAAGTCTGTAACACTTCTCCATTAAAAGCAATGCCGTTCAAACCAACAGCTGGACTGGAGATGATCTCGATTTGTGTTGTGGCATTGACGTCTCCCGTCAGCCGCAGCTGCTTGTTTGTCAGCTCAGCTGTCCGGATAAGATATCCAGCCTTGACAACTACCAGGCTCTTCGACGGTGATGAGTAGTTTCCAATCGGACTTGATGCTGGTAACTCCATCACCCAGTAGTTATATACCTCGTTCCGCCAGAGCAGATACACCCAAAGATCTGCTATCCGAATGATGCGTCGGGCTGGTGTAACATGCCACTGTACAACCCAAGCAGATCCGCATAGTTTTATTTCGAGGTCGTGTCCTTCGAGGACGGTTGGTTTTCCAAGATTACTCGGCAAAGAAAACTCATGCGTTTCGCCGGCCCCTCCGTAAAGAATCAATACACGCGTTGACCCCGAACCATGCGCCCATGTGAATATCTCTGCGGAAGAGTAGATCAGATTGATGCCGCCGACATCATAATCCGTGACATGGAATTTGGAGTCACGTCCATTCAGCGTCAGGTGGCCTCCTAGTTGAGGAATTTCGATTTGTCCAACACTTGTCGACAGAGTGAGCGTGTACTGAGTGCTACCGGTTGAAGTGAAGTCGGCATGTCTGACAACATAGAGATTTGTGCGCGTCCCATTTCCAAGGAGAGGAGTCACTGCTAGCGAGAAGGGTGCACCATAGGTTCCATTTACTCCGAGATGGGGAGTTGCCGTTAGATAAGCTGGTGAAACTTTGAAAAAGTTCGCCTCAAGTTTCTGTTCACTAAATTTTTCACGCCAGATCGCCCTTTCTTCTGTAATGGCTGCACCGTAATCATATGATGTATGCCCGCCCATATAGCCGAGGTTTCCCCAGTTGGTGCCCCCAAAAGTCTGACAAGAATGACAAAATGAGAATGGAAGCAGGAAATCAAAATGCTTAACAGACTCACCATGTAAATGTTGAAGATCTTAACTCCAAAACTGTAGTTATTCTTGTACAAAACTCTGACAGCCTCTTCGTTGACTAACTGGCCGCACATGTCTTGAGCAACACCTCCCCTAGAGACTTTTAGTTTCCGCGGGTTGAAACGGAAAATCTTTGACCTACCATCCTTCACCCGACCCCCCTTGGAACTCAGCTATGGCAAAGGGCGTCGTTGGACTCTGCTGTTTGTGCGTGACTTGCCAATCATACGGAAACCGGTAGGTAGGCCAAACACTGGGATTTGCGCCTAAGGAGGAAGAGATGTCAGTATGACAAAACACATAGGATTTAGGGAAGTTTTAACCAGGCTTACAATCATAGCGCATTGGGTAAGCATCGATAGCGTAAATATCGACTGCGCCTTGCCCTGAACCCGGTGCAAAATATCCCTTAACTGAGTTATCATTCACGATTTTAGGTACGTTGATGCCTTCATCAAGCAGCTGCTCTTCAACGTATGCCATATAGTCCCGATTCATGTCATTCGGGAAGTCAGTCACCCCAGGCCACGTGGAAAACTCGTTCTCTGGCTGAGCCATGATCACCGGGCCACCATGGGTAATTTGCGCCCTTTCAATGATCGCACCCACAGTCGACATGTACTCTGCTGTCGCATTCAAGTATTCGGGGTCGTCAGACCGGATTACTGCTTTCTGTCTTAGAACCCACCCAGGGATTCCACCAGCAGTAGTTTCTGCATTGATATACGGTCCCGGTCGAGCGATGAGATATAAACCAGCTTGGCTTGCCGCATCGAAGAATTCATCCAAGCTCCATATCCCGTCGGTTATAACGTGTCCCGGGTTACCTTCAACAAGGCTCCAGTCCACATAGAATGACGCGCCGGTGAAGCCCATGCTCTTAATTTTTTGGAATACGTCGAGCCAAAGACCTGGGACTGGGAGGCGAAAGGGGTGGAATTCCCCAGAAAATATCATAAGCCGCTCTCCGCGAACTATTACAGAATGCTGGTCCCATTTCACCTATTTGTAGGGCGTAAGTACAATGGTATTACCAGGGTGGGGTGGCTGTAGGCTCACTAGGTCCTGCAACCCATTTGCTTCGGGTTGAACATGACTATTGCTGGAGGCCGACACTAAAGTTGCAAGTCCAAAAAGTAGAGTGAAAATTCTTGTCGTTATGAACCACATATTTCAAAGGTGGTGGTTGAAATTGCCATGCAAACTATGAACTATAATTTTTCGCTAATGGGCACCTCGAGAGGTAGTCGAGTGTGATATCGAGACAAACAGAAATTCGGAAATTTAGCATTTTCTCCGGTTTTGAACTTTGCAACTCAAAGTGATTTCCCCCGCATCAATGAGACCGACTCCGCATACCCCATGCAGTAATCCGGCTGCTAGCTTTGATCCCATTGAAGGAATATCTCTTCAATTAACCGGAGCACCATCGAAGCACCGGCAAAACAACAGTTTGTCGATATTTTCCGCTACAATAAAACTAAACAACATGGAGTTTAACACCTCTAAATTCTACCATACCCGGAAATCAGCCTAAATCGCCTCAGTCGATTGCCGCAGGTTCTACGGGTCAAATTACATCATGGCGATCTCATTTTGCCATCGTGTCATATGGTTTATTCTGAGCCACTGAAGATGAGATTTCTCGTTGACACCCCCCAGAAAATACTAATGATCAAACCCCATAATAAAACCATGGCCACACATATCAAGCCACTCCTCCTGCATGCCCATGCCACTGGGCCAAACCCGGTGAAGATCGCCATTGCGCTCGAGGCGCTCCACATCCCGTTTGAAGTGAAGCAGTGGGACTTTAGCGACAATCCAAACACCGGCGTGAAAGGCGCAGAGTATCTTAAAGTAAATGAGAACGGGCGCGTTCCTGCCATCGAAGATCCAAACACCGGCGTCATCGCGTGGGAATCCGGGGCCTGTATGAATTACATTCGCCGTGTGTATGACAAGGGTAATACTATCGGTCCGTCGGGTGCCTCGGCGCAAGATCTGGTAGATTTTGAAAAATGGGAGTATTTCTTGTTATCGACGCTGGGTCCCATGAGCGGACAGACAAATTGGTTTAGGTTGGTGGCCTATGTTCGGGAAAAATCCCCGGTCAGTGCTTACTCGATTTTCTAGACACTTGAACCCACAGAAGAATGAGGATGCGCTGCAAAGATATACAGCGCAGACCTACCGCTGCTATGACGTTCTTGAGGAACAGTTGAAGAAGACTCACGGTGAGAGCATTGTGCCCAGTCGTGTCACTGCCGTTGATTATCATTTCGAGCCATGGGTGCGTTTGTATTCTTTTGCTGGCCTTTCGCTTGATAACTATCCCTTGATCAAGAAGTGGCTTGGGCTCATGGCGGCGCGAGAAGAAGTCCAGGAAGCGTACATCAAGATTCAAGGCAAAAAGTAAGCTTTGAGAATGGAGATGTTACGATGGCACAATTTGTATGGGAACAAGAATTAACCGGCCATTGGGACAGTTCATGATACTCAAAAAAATCAAAATGCAGAATGCAATTTTAAAAATCTACATCATGTTGCCTGTCAACTGTGTCCCCACTTCACAAACTCAGCACCTTTCAGGTCATTCTTGACGTGCTTGTTTCTCTTCTACTGCTCGCCGACCATGTAATACAGCAATGGATCCCGCGCAGTGTTCTCATTGGATGGGGGATAACCATAACCTGCAAAAAAAATCGTTTCTGGTGAGAAAGAAAGAAGGCGTTCAATCGAGTGGAAATATTCTCGAGCACCGCCACATGGAAAGTCACGTCCGTCACTATCAGCATCCGGATTGAACATAAACGTCTCCCGTTAAGAACATTGATTTCTATTTTGTAACCACTGTGGTCTGGTGTATATCCTGAGAGGTAAGGAACGGTGCTGGTCACGTTGCTAAGGTTGAAAAATTCATCTACCTTTACGAAAGAGGACTGGGGAGGAGAAGAGGAGAGAAGAAGGGGAAATGTTGGAAGTGTCCTTTTATGTGGTCACATCCCACGTACCTTCCTATTGTTGGCACTGTCTTGCACCTTCCACAAGCAACAGAAATCCGGCGCGGTGGTCGTCAGGTTGTCAGGTTATCAGGTGGTATTTAACTAGTCGCTCCTAGTAGGATTAGGGTTTCTTCTAGTAGAAGGTAGATAATACTAGTGAGAAGTACTCAAACTAAATTATCCCCAAAACGGCTATTAGGTTATTATGTGTAGGCCTCAACAAGTCCTACAGCACCAAAATTGGCTTAGTCACGTAGCACCTCGCAGCACTAAAATTGCCTTAGTGCTACGGGACTTATCAAGGCCTAGTCGGAAGGTTAGACCCTCGAACCGCCCCAGTGGCGGGGCGGTTTGAGGGTCGTGAGGGTCACCCGCGTGTCACTGCCAGGTCTAGCTGTAGCACCGAACCAAAGGCCTAGTGCTGCCGTAGCACTGGTGCTGCGGGACTTGTCAATGCCTAATAAAACCTGAAGCACTATAGGGTCCTGCTATAAATATAGGCTATAGCTTAGAGTGCCTCCCCCTTAGATAGTTAGGGCTTTTAGATTAAATCAGTACTACCCTTGCCTTATTAAATATAGTAAGGTTTGTTCTTTCAATTAGCTCATTAGGTTCTTTAGTATAACTAGGTGTAGTTATAAGCTTTGACACCCTTAACCACATAGATAATCGCTTATAAAGATAAATCAGGAAATAGATGTGATTGCCAAACTATTCAAACTTTTTGTGGAAAACAACTGTCTTCACCTTTTTTTTCTAGCCCGTTGAAATCTCTTTCTTTAATCTGTCTGTTTAATGCTAGCCATCGACTCAGTTGTTTTGTCAAGCGACTGTCCTTGCAGTCACAGACTTTTCACACATACAAAGACATCCCAGGTAAGCGAGATCGTCCGTAGGTATGGATTGCAAATTTCTTCTCCGTGGGGATCGTGATCGATTAGAAAGCATACGTCGATCTTGCACCGATAGAAGCGTCGCTGACAGACCATTGATCAATTTCGCTCTGGTCGCTTGGCACGTCCCATCGAGCGATTTGAAGATCAAGGGTGTGAGCGGTTTGGTTGAATCGACACTGCCAGCTCTTCACGGCCTTACATCCCGGCTTTTGGCACAGGTGGCCCATGTAGCATTTGATTGATCGACAAGCACCGGCCCGAGTGCAGGGGTGTTGGAGGAGCATATATCGCAGAACCTCAACGATCACGTTAGAGACATCGCTGTGGTCATATGTGCAGCTCATGTCACCGCATTCTCCCGACAGATGATAGCTATTGCAGACTTTGTGTTCTTTGGCTCGAGCGTGATATTCATCAAAGGCTTCGGGCGGCGGGTGAGGATAGTATGGGTCGATGCGGTCGCCATCTTTATTGACTGGAATGAATTCTTCCGTTTTGATGCTCGGCAAGGGGAGCGTGGATCTAAGGAAATCCTCGGAGCGACCGACAACTGTAGGGGAAGACCACAACAGTTTAGGTAAATCACAGGCACCTGAATGCTTAGGGGACAGTTGATGATTCAAAGACTGGTTCGGCATAACATGCTGTTTATTGCAGCCGTTGCCAAATTTGCAGATACCCTAGGTCGATGTCGGTCAACGACTTGCTCGCTATGACATCATTTCATCGGGAATAAGTACCTTTTGGAAGTGCTTGCAGATTGGCTTGATGGGATTTGCACCATTCACACCATTTACGCCATTAGAAACGTGGTGTACGCCGTTTCCACCATTGAATTTGGTCACAATCGGGGGCACCGCCGGGCCTGTCGGCGGTTTGCTGTTCAGCAGAGGAGTAGACATAAACACCGAAGGCAACTCCCTGATGGGGAGATCCAAGGCCTCAAATTCACGATGGAAACCAGCAGCTTTGATGAGGGTGATACGGTCACCTCTGCCTCTATAGGGCGTCAGTAGGGAACCGTATCCAGTGTCGTGGCAGCCGGCAAAATAAATATGGCGGCATTGGTTGAGATCAACGAAGAGACGGAACATTTCTTGATGTCACAGAAGATATCAGTACAACAAGAAAACTATTTTTGTCAATTTGTTCATTACCTCTGATCTTGAAATCACTGCCCTCCTTCTTCTCTGCAGCATCGACATAATCAAATAGCTCTTGTGCACGGGTAAATGACGAAGTAAATGGTGACATCGATCGAGCCTCGTGGCCCATAAGTCCAGCTCGTGCTAGCGCCTTCGACAAACCGAGAACGTTCGCATAGACACGAACCATGATTCGACACTGTTCCGCTTGCATTCCCACTGTAGAATGCATAAGCTCTTTAACAGAATCGCTCAGCTCGCGGGCTGCATTAATGCCACCTTCGCTGCCATGCTTTAGGAAATGCTCTTTGAACTAAAGAGGTGGGTTAGTTCACTGATTAGACACCCAGAGAAGCAACACAATCTCACAAGATATCCATCTCCATCTACAAGGACAAGGACAAATGGATTACGGTCCTGGTTGATGGTCAGTTTTTTCACTCTTGGGGATTCTGTAGGCCTATCAACGCCTACCTGACCTCTGGCCTGCCTTTTGTATTTCTCTCGGCCTTCTTTAACCTCTTCGTAATCGCTCTTGAGCGAGCTGTAATCGTCTAACAGACTCTTGAACTGGCTGAGCAAGTCCTGCAGATTGTCATGTTGCTTCTGCTGCTCACGCGATAAGGACGCTAGATGCCCGTTCAAGGAATCTATATCAGAATCCCTCAGCATCTTGTCGGAGGTACCGGGACGGCATGTGCCATTCCCATATGCCAAGTTGATTCAACGCAAGCTGCCAGCATTCGATTGAGATTTAAAAAGATAAAATTCGATTTTCCAAGCTGTGAGGTGAGATGAAGAGCTATGGTGGGGAAATTTGTTTGTCTGTTTGTTTGGTGTGTTGGGCGGTCAATGGCCGTTAGGCATCAGGTGACCAGGTGGATAATGCGAAGCCCTGGAACGCTAGTCCTGTCACGTGTGGCACCCCATACAGAAATCACCTCAAGTGGACTAGCGCCTACGCGACCCATTTGTTCAACCGAGTGGTCTCACTCCAATCCGAGTTGCAAATCACATGCAACACAACATACACGGACACAAAACGGCGCTCCATTTAGTTACAAAATAGTCCTGTCGTTCATTCTCATTGATCCTGGATTTCACGTAGGATCCCTTGGTCCTGCTCACCTGTCGAATCCACTACCTATGAGTTTAGGTTAGGGCCAGTAGAATGTCAAAATATGCTTTTTGGGATATGCAAGACTAAGGTCCGAAGAAGCTTGATTCCCATACTTTCGGTTACACGTGCCGATACAAGTAGTTCCGATATCTGGAACGCTTGCTCAGCTTGTTGCAAACAAGCCACCAACCGCTGTCTAAGTAGGAAGCGAAAACAGAACGTGTTGATTTCAGATAGTTTTCAATTTCAGGTTAAATTCTTGGGAACACATTCTTCTTCGCCGTATGTGTCCAATTTCAGCATGCTATACAGCATCATGTGACCCTGTCGATCTAAATTTACTCCCCTCCTAAGAAGTCTGTCAATGTAGATCATGCCGATCATTTTAAACTAGTAAGATGGAAGCTTTTTTAATTTCTGAATACTGTATTTTCCACACTTTACAACCTACAAAATGGTGAAAACGGTATGTACAATACACAGCGCTAGCACAAATTAGCCTGTTTTTGGTGGAGCAACATTGACAGACTTCTCACTGAACGGTGGGGGGAGCTAAACAAAACCCAAGCGCCCGAAATCTTAGGCTTTCATCCGATTGCTTTCTCGTTCGCGGGATTTTGATTCTCCTCTTCGTTCTTCCTTTTACGTTGTCTGACCCTCTGTCAGGACGTGATTGCTGGTCCCATGTTCCAGGGAAATGCGCAATTCTCCTATCAAGGCAATTCCTTGCAATATCCAGGGCTCGGATTCCCAGCTCTTCTATCAGGTCTACAAAAGTCCTCAATATCCTCAATACCAAGCCATCCTACCTACTACCAAGCTGCCACGTCCAGACCGCTCCATTCCAGGGGCATTATTAGGAGGAAGAGCCCGAATGGGTGGCTCAATGTCCGGCAGAGGCTCATGCTCTGGGAGTGGTGGAGAAATCCACTCAATCACCTGCGCCAAGGGCAATCGGTGTCTTGGAAACACCTAGTATAGTGCTTCTTACTTGCTCATGGCCCAAGGTCCAGATCATCTAGTTGGTCAGATGCTCGATACAATGATATAAGCAAGTGAAAAATGTTGTAACCGACCTTCAATGGCATGTAGCCCAGCTACGGGTGGTCCCCAGCCGAGTCGGCAAATTTCAAATTTCCAACTCGGAATGTGGCGGGATCCTGGGCTGGCATATCCGCGACAGCCTTTTGGAGGAATTTTGCTTCAAATCAGAAACCGGCTTTAACAACTATCTGAATAGAAACGTGACGGAGAATACTAGAAGATACGCGGTTAACTCACATGCCGTCCCATACGCAATCGTCTTGAAGCGAGGAGACCTGAATCCAAGGGTCATCGTCAATGAAAAAGGCAAGATTACATGCATCGTGGATTGTGAGATTGTAGGCTTTTCCCCGGAGCACTGGGAGCATGCCAAGATCCATTGCACGGTTCGCCACGTTGGTCAGTGGCTAGCTGGTGTGGTCGATCAAGTATTTGAGGGTTTCTGGGACCTACTGTAGGTGGAGAGGGGCCTTTCTGGTTAAACAGACCCCATTCATAAACAAGTCATCTAAGCTCACACTGAAGCAAAAAGCTTAAGCACAGCAGCGGAATATACGCAGTTCGCCCACTAAGTCTGTAATCACTTGGAATAACAGTAATTGCCATGGAGATGCCCAATTCCCAGGCAACACATCACACGACTGACTTTCAAGCTAGCCTGTGACTCCCATCTGTTAGATTGTAGATCCGACGAACGATTGATACCTGGTGGTCAGTCGGCGCCTTAGTGCAAGGCTATATTTACAACTCAATCTGCCATCAACCGTGTGTATTCACGTGCTTGTCAAGAATCTTGAGTCCTGCGATCCAAATTCAATTCCGTTGAAATAACAAACCCAAAATATCCCATCTTCTTGACTTTGGTCGTGCTGTGAGTTGTCGCACAGTCAGCCCTATTGATGTTTTTAGGTGGTGATCTCACTTACCTCAAAGAAAGCGGAAAAATCGATAGCAATGGACAGGTCAGTAAAGCCAAAGACGCGTTCAACATGCCGAGACTTCTTCTTGCGCAACCAACCCTTCCCCGCAATCTCCGCCCATGCTTTTTGAATCCGCAAGTTGAAATTGGAATCGGAGCATGCCGGATGGGCCTTGACCGCGCGGTGGATCGTATGGAGTGGTAACAGTCTCATAGGAAGCGTTGTCGCTTGCATCAGGACCCACACAAGGCATCTGGAAACGCTCAGCGAGCTTCGGCTAGAACTTGCCCTATGTAAAGAGGCAGTCATCTGATGCGTTGAAGCTCTCGTCATTGGACTGCTCGGTCAATACAATCCACTCTGCGAGATATTCATTCGCCCGTAAGTTTGAGATGGACATATTCGCCTCCCACGCCTTGATCCTTGATATCGCTGGGTTATTCCAGAGGCCGGTTCAGATATTTCTGAACAGTGGTGTAAATTGACAAGGGGTAAAAAAGGTTCATGGCGGCATCTGGGACTGCTCTTGCAATGTGCGACGGTTGGGTAGTATTCCAGCCGATTTGGTGTTTCTTAGCGCAGTGTTGCAATTAATCTTCCTGGTCATAGTAGAAGTTGGGTGTGCCCAGGATTCGAGGATTGGATTCTATCCATGGGCAAATCCTAGGACCGTAATGGATTCCGTAATACTTCGCGCCTAGCTGCTATAGCATACGCTTGGGGGATATGTTTTTCAATTCCAAGCCCTCGTGAAAGTTGACCAGTAGTTCTTCTCGTTTATCTTTAGCTGGGAATAGCATTAAAAATCTTCACATCTATCTTTTCTTAATATCAATGAAAACTAGCTCATCTGTACTTCAAACCGCTTCTCCGTCCTTGGAGGTCGGTTGGGCATGCGCGAAGAAAAAGACATCAACAGCACAAACTCCTCTCTTGGCCAACTCTGCCGCAATGGCTTGTGGTGATTTTAACAGATCGCCCGAAATTTACTTGACATGATCGTGCCATGAACCATACGGCGGCCTTCTTGACAAATCGTAGATCTTCTGCTACCGACAATGGGTTTCGCTTCAGCTGATGATTACCAGAAATGCCATTTGCTCCCGTGACAATGACCGGGAGGCCATGGTAGATGTCTTTGTTTTGAAAAACTAATATGCTGAGTTGCTACAATTTTATACGGAGGGTATCTCATGATACAAGTTGGCTGTCCCCCCCCTAGTCTATTATCATCAGTGCACAACTCCCGAATTTTTCCCGTTGTAAAAGCATAGAGATTTCTAAGCCTTCAAAACTCCAACCAGAGAGAACGAAAAGACTGGACTGTAATGTACAGACGTTTCAAATCGTTTTTTGGGTAGACTTTTTCAATAATGTTCTTTTTCTCTAGATTTTATTTCAAAGCTCTATTTTCATGTCGATGAATATGAACGAACCTCTGTACATATCTGGCCATGTCCATGTCCCTTTGCCGCAGCATCCCATGCGGTTTGCACTTCATTCGATACGCAGAACTCATTGGGGGTCTCCCATGTAGCAACACCTAAACTTGCGCTGTATGTGAATAAATACAGGGACTTCGGCACTCGAGCTGTGCCAACATCGATGGCCATGGAATTAAGCCGTGGCATGTGCTGAGCAGCGCGCCCAGCAGCGATATACAGCTCATCTAATCGTTTGATAAGCAGTTTGTGGAATACACACCCTTTTTGATTTTGATTTTGATCATCAAGTGATCTGACTGAGTCATCCGATGACACCGAAGAGGAATCTTCGTCCAATCTTGGAGTTACACTGACGGGACTAGTAGCATAGGTGGAAGCATATGCACAGCTTATGTTAAATTTGATAAGCTTTGGCCAGAATGGTGGAGTGGTGCTAGCATCTGCCGGCCAGAACAATTCAGAGCTGATCATGATTTCTGACAAGTGAACAGTTTCCAACTGCTGAGTCAGTTGGTGCATAGCAAGGCACACAGAATCAGGACCTTGGTTTGATAACAAGGAGCACACCTCTCTGTAGACTCGATTGGGCATGTAACTCAGTTGTAAATGTTTCAGGGAGAGAGGCCACATGGTAGTAGAGAAATCTATTTGCACTATCAGACCCTGTTTATATGTTGAAAGAATGAAATTTTACGGAGAATGGGAATAGAAAAACTCACCCCTTTCAAAAATTTCACAACTTGCAGCGTTCATACTGTATTGTTTACGTAGGCTGGCATGGAGATTCTGCAGTTGTGGAAGATGGGCTACCATCTCGGACAAAGTTTCTGGTGCAACATTGCGGAAACTATCACAGCCAATCACTTGGAATGAAGTAACGCAATAGACATTAGATAAAGATACATTTCCCGTCAGTCGTAGATAGGAATCTTGGTATCTTCGGTCTAGCAGCTCTTCCTCTGGGAAAGCATAGCCTCGTTGTTGCCGGGCACGTCGTGTATCCCAGTCTGGCTCCCCCTGCCAGTCACTTGGGGACCTGGCATAGATCTTTAATGAGATTGCTTTTCGATCATGACTGGGCAATAAGCTCAGAATTTCAAAGAGAGATAGCATGGCTTGTGTGAAGACCTTGTTATTGCGGTCGCAATCATCTTGATTTTCATAGTGGCCCCGGTCGGCGACACTATATTCAGGGATAACAATCTTGTAATTTAGGCTTTTGACATAGAACCATCGATGACGGGAGTGGGAAGAAAGAAAAATCTGACGGAAGTCCTCGAGGTCCGCCAAATTGATTCGCAAATCGGCGAAGTTGAATTTCTCGGCAGCAACCTGCCATTGCTTGCAGACACAAGCACAGGGTGTCAGATGATCTAGCAGGTATGAAAATATATGCTGAAGAGTTTCAAGGGGCAATGATTCAGCCATGGCGAACGAAGTGAGTGTTGATCGATAGAGATGAGACCAGACAAGTTGGAGTTTGTGCCTGAGACTTCAGGTGTGAAGTGAGGCACGCTAAGCCAATTTGGGTATGCAGGATGGTGAGTTGACCACACCTGGACATTACCTCTTAGGCGTCAAATTCCATTCACAACTCATCCGCATGTGAATGCAAGCGTGAAAGATCATCTGAAAGCAGTTGCACAACCTTCGTCTCGCTATCTGTCTCGGAATCACACACCCCATTGGCCTTGCCACAGACCATTGGCCCCCAAAATTTACACGTCTGAGTGCTCCTGTGTGCCAAGATTTGTAGATTCCGCGCCAGCTCTTACAATTTTCACAATGAGATACGTACTCTTTGCTTTGAGCGCATGGGTGCCCTATGCTATATTCTATTTTGCCTCCATAAATGGCCTTGATGCGCTAAGCCGCAAATCCATTGAATCCGGCAAGCTCCCGAGCATCGATGCACCTTTGCGCACAGTCTACACGGGAGTCGAGGCAATCGACCACGTATTCACTCTTTTGACAACATTTTTCTATCCAATGCTCGACGGCCATAATCCTGGTCTGCTGCTTCACAGTTTTGGATTTAGTGGAACTTTTGGTGCAACTTGGACTCTGATCGTCTTGGAATCCTGGAGAAAGGGCAATGCCGGCACAATAGCTGCTTAGTACGTTATGCCCACTGGACAGCGTCTTAATATTGTATGAGACTTACTGATCGATTTAGCCCGACGATATTTGGCCTCATCGCTCAATTGTTCACTTTTGCTTTTGGAGTCCCATTGGCATGTGGTCTTCAGCTGGGCTGCTCTATTACTGCGCGCCGCCCTCACGCAGATAACATTCGTATCCCACGAGCAGTTCTTGCAGCTTTTCCGTTGATCTACATTGTGGGATACATTGTGCCGACCGTGGCGATGGGATTGCCCGCTCCATCTGTCATTTCCGTGGACCTGAAGCAGATCGCCATTGCCATCTGGCAACCCTGGCCAGCATACGTGGCAATTCTGACCTCAATCGCTTACTTTACTCTTTCTCCTTTCTACTCAAACAACCACCGGGTATCCATGTCTAGCTTGCGCTGGGTCTATGCATTTGCGTTTGCCAATGCAGCCTTGTCGCACATTGTGTCATGGGTTGTTTCCTTGGCAACCGTTGTTGTGCCAGTTCTATTCGAAGACCATTTCCTAGGCTCTCTTCACCCGACTTCTGTTTTCTCATTTCCTCTTCCCTGGTCCGGGCTGACGGTTGATAATGTCGGTGACGGTGTCCATATCTTCCTCCGATGGGACTATATGACTGGTTCTGCTGGTGTTTTGATTTGGGCTATCTCGCTGCACGTTACTGCTCACAAGCATATCCTCAACTATATCTCGTGGCCCAGTCTCCTAGTCAAGATTGCTCTGTTGACGCTTCTTGCTGGGCCTGCAGGTACTGCGGTCGAGTTGATCTGGGAGAGAGATGAGCTGGTGTTTACCGAGACAGATCGTTGCAAGCAGCAGGTTTCGAAGGCCAAAAAGTCCACCTGATGGATGATTCTTTGCAGAATCATGGAATGAATGTTTCGGGTTACCAATGATGTTAAAATTAAATGTTTTTTTTTACAAAGAGATTTTTGAATTTTCACGATGGGCCTTCGTATCATTCCACATGCAAGACCATTCGCGCAATCTGTGCAGAGAAAGAATGGGGAAAAGATTCTCATCTCAATTGGACACGGGAGTCTTTCTCTCTGCCATGATTTCATAAATCGCCTCGAGATATGCCTTGGTGTTGTCATTGCCCATGATTCCTGGTCCCATTTTGTTCATGGTATAAGCAATAGTCATGCGGCGATCCAGATCCATGACCAGAATTGATCCACCCCAACCTCCCCAGAAGCAAATTTTTCCTTCGGGGATAAAAGTGATGATTTGCGGCACCGGTAGGCCAACTCCCAACCCGAATCTTATGGGGAAGAATAAAATCTGATCGACACCGCTAATCCGTTCTTGGAGCATCTGATCAATGGCCTTAAGCCCAAGATACTGCTTCCCATCAACTGTCCCTTTCAAGGACACAATCGAACCCATCCGAGCCAGTGCACGCGCATTTGAAAACCCATTCGCGGCACCGACCTCTGCACCCCTGAATCCGGGCGTCTGGGACACCTCAGCGTCCAAAATAAGGTTGGGTAAGACTTTACCCGCAACGCTTTGCGGGTCGATCGGTGGCAGAGGTGTAGGAGGACTGGGAATGATATCCGCCGTACGCAGCCAGTCCTTTTCGGCCACACCGAGACCAAAGTCCGCACCCAATGGACCCGCGATCTCATCTGCAATGAACTTCTTCAAAGACTTCCCGCTAATGCGTCGCACCAGCTCGCCGACTAAATGTCCATGATTAACCATCTGGTAGGCGGATGCCTCCCCGGCCTTATACCACGGAGCCTGCGCAGCGAGCATCTCGGTGGAACTTTTAGTGTCGTAAATGGTCTCCAAAGAAACCCGCGTGTCCCAATGGGGCATGCCAGAGGAGTGACTGAGGATGTGCCACACTTTTGTGTCTTCTTTGCCGTTGACTGCGAACTCCGGCCAGTACTTCGACACTTTCTCTTCGACGTCGAGCAGGCCGCGATCAACGAGGATGAGTGCGGCGAGGGCAACGGCTACCTTACTAGATGAGAAGACGACCCCCAGAGTGTCTTCTTCCCATGAACGCGTCTTGGCGGCGTCTGCATGTCCGCCCCAGATATCGAGGGCATTCTTACCGTCGATGTTGATGCAGATTGAGGCACCGACTTCATCTCCCGATGCTAGCTTTTGCTCGAAAAGATCACGGACCCGCTTGAATGTGGGGTCACAGAAACCGTGTGTGGCAGCCATTGCAAAAATCGTCGCCTCGCTCTTACTTTATGTCGAAGTTGGATCTTTAAAGATTCCTGGGGAATTGGGTAACTTAGAATAACCAACATAGTAGTGAGAGGCTGGAGCCGGCATATTTATAGCCGGTTCTCCAAGATATTATAGGAGACCTCGGCATCTTAGTGCTCACTGCGGGGACTCTAGATTCATTCGTAATCCAATGAGCTAGTCCCGATCTCAAGATTAACGTAACACACGCATCCATTACCACAATAGGAACAGTCAATGTGGATAATGTCGAGTCCTGCGGTACGTAGATTTAATGCACAACCTACCAAAAATCCATGCACTACGGAGTACTCCGTAGACAACTTTCAGTTACGATATCCACACCAACAGTCCATTCAAAGTGTGCATAATTAAAGAAATATTCTGCATGAATAAAAGGCCAATTCACAAAAAATAAAATTCGTTTCCAGTATACCAGTCCATTGCTTCTCGCCAAACAAGCGATCATTTGGATACGCACAAAACATTTCTATTTGTCTGATTGAGTGCATCTTATGCAGAGAAAATTCAACGTTCAAAAATAAGCCTAGAGCGACTTTAATTTGTTCACATTGATCAATTCGTGGTAGCGATGTCTTTCCGTGCCCTTTAGAACCCACTAACCTGGTTCAAAGGGGCTGATATTCGATGCACCTAGAGGCATAATTACACGTCATCTTCCTGGAACCTATGTTGTATCTGGTGGACTCATAACTAACCATTACAACTTTGTCATCCATCAGCATCCCACCTTTCTCCGAATAGTACCTTAACATTACATTTTGTCTGATCATAATCACCTCTTTTTCTTATTTACCCACATCAATACCCCTGTTGTAATCTGTGTTTACAATTTCATCACTTTTTCTAAATTCCGCTTATTATCTCGAGAGCATGACAGGGGCATGAAAGCACCAATTTCTTCATTCAAGGCGAACTTGGGCATGATGAACTATCCCTCACTTCCTCAAATCCCCAAACTCGGCATCAAGAATCTACATACCAATCGGGAAGCTCCTAGCTAGTTAGTCAATACTCACGCTACCTCCCTTATTGTTTCCGCCACTGTAATGTCGTATACTCCTGCCCACGATAAATCTAGCATCATTTGCTTGGTCATAAAAATCGCACTTGGTCAAGACTTTGTGTGGTGTTAAAACAATATGTTCATTCTGTGGCATGTACAACCAACACCTCTGGAAAAACGATAGGTTTGAAATTTTTTTTTTTCAATAAATACATTAAAAGAGGTAAACAAAATGAACACATCCGCTGTATTGCCTTGCAAATTGAAAAAAAAAAATCAACTATTTCACACCGCCTCTCCTTCATCTTCCAAAAACTCACGCCTAATTCATTGCTGCAGCAGTAGGCACATGACCTTTCTCAAGAGGCACCCGGTCCACCGACGAGGACGACGAAGACACAGCTTCAACAGTGGCAGTTCGCGGCTCCGCATACTCCTCATCAGCTTTCCAGAAGTCCTTCTTCCCGCGGGCGGCACGCTTAACCCAGGGTGGGAGTAAACCGCCCTTGACCTTCCAAGACCAAGGATCAGACTCATCCTTGTTCGGTGGGACGATGTGACCACGGCTGATCTTCTCAAGACACCAGGCAAAGCCATTGAGGGTGATATAGCTAGTGATACCAGCGATCAGACCGTAAGCGATACTGTATGTGAATGGCATGATGGCGATGGTAAGGAATGCGGGGATCGCATCGCCGTAGTACCGCCAGTTGATATCGGCGGCAGACTTGGCCATCATCGTACCGACAATCACAAGTGTACAACCCGTAGCCCAGGGTGGGATTGAAGCAAAGATCGGGGCGAAGAATACAGCGATAAAGAATGCAATGCCAGTGACGCATGATGTGAGACCGGTTTTGCCGCCTTCGGAGATGCCGGCTCCGGACTCGACGAATGCTGTGACTGGGGGACTGCCGAGGAGGGATCCGATCGAGATTGAAATCGCGTCAACCATGTAAGCGACGGCGCTGCCCTCGAAATCCTGGGTCTCCTCGTTGATTGCGCCGGCAAATCGGGCCATGGAGTACATCGTACCTGTTGTATCCAGAATGTCGACATACTGCGGAAAAGGTTAGTTTTCAATCTCTGCCGATATAAAAAAGCTAGCGACGTACCAAAAATGTGATGAAAGCCAGTCCAAACTGGCCGCCCTTGCCAGCCAGGCCCCAATCCTGAGCAGTCAAGGTATGCCGGATAGGATGGAAAGTGACCACCTTCTTGAAGAAATCAAATTGGCTAGTACCGAGCTCGGTATAGGGGAAGAATGTGACGGAGGTAGTACGAGGCCACGAGATGATAGAAACCAACAAAATGCCGATGATGATCGCACCCTTGATACGGTACATCATTAGCAAAGCCGTAAGAATGCCGCCGCAGAAGATACCAATCCACATGGTTGGACTGCGCATCTTCTCACTGCTCGGACACATGCCCGTTTCAGAGTCGAACTGGCTAGCCACACATCCAGCCAGCTCAATGGGAGTGTCAGAGCCACCCTGGACTAGTCCAATGCCGGCACTGTATGTCAAACCGATCAATGCAAGGTAGAGACCAATGCCGACACCCGTTGCGAGTTTGATAGACTTTGGCAGCGCACGCGCCAGCCACTGTCGCATACCGATCAATGTCAAGCCCAGGAATACCCATCCTTCTACAAAGACAGCCGTGAGGGCAGTCGAATACGAAACCATGCCACTACCACGGACTCCAACAACAGTGTAGGCAAAGTAAGCGTTTAATCCCATTCCAGGGGCGAGCGCGATAGGAAGGTTCGCAAAGAGACCCATGCAAAATGTTGAGAGGGCGGCGATGGCGGCAGTGGCGGTGACGATGTCACGCTTGATTTCTTGCGTACACAGGGCATACTCGATATTGTTTGCACAGAAATCTCCCATGTCTTCCGCGGGGCAGACGCAGGTTCCACCGGTCACAGAAGTGATGTTACTGTTGACGGAGATGATGTATGCCATGGCAAAGAAGGTGGCGAGACCGGCGCGAATTTCAGTGAAAAAGTAGCTACCCTTCCGCTCGAGAGACTTAAGACATGGTTTAGCCTCGCACATTGCAAAGGTATTGACAAAGCGATCACACGTCGCATAGAAGGCAGCATCACTTACATGGCCGGAGCCCTCCAGACGAAACCATTTCCCCACGGGACTGCGGGCAACCCGCACGTTGGTTTCGTGGACCCAGTTACCTAAGCCCATTGCGATAGAGTATCACGGTGGTGTACTTTAGATACAGCTAATTCCGAAGACGCTGTCGTCGTTGAGACGCAGTATGCAAAGAAGTTCTAGTCAAGGTAGGTGGTAGAGCATAGTTTTGAAGGAAGAGATGGGCAAATCTCAAAACTGGTCTCTTGGCCAACCACATCTTGCTGATAAGAACTCGAGAAAAAAAAATTTCGCCTCCAATTTGAGCTACCTCCGGGTCTTTGGGGACTTGGCAGCGGTGGTGGGGTCTCATTTCACCCGTGAGATGCCGTGTCGAGGCCCTAATTGGCTGAGTGTTTGCCTACAGCATTTTGTTCAAGGTCGTCCATGGGTCAAGACTCGGCAAGCCGGCGACTGAAGAAAAGAGACTGACACAAGTCACAGAAATGGCGTTCAAATGACGCTGGCATGTTCAAAGAGAAGAGGCAAATGCTGGCAAAAATGTTGCAGACAGGTAGCCTTGTAATGCCAAGACCAAACGCCAAGACTCTGTGCTCAGAGCTCTATCTTTTCAATTATGTTGTATCGTGTGCTTGAGAATGTGCTTCTCGATAGTTAGTCAACAAAGGAGGCCGGATGACAGAAGTAATCTGAAGTTCTTTTGCATTCAAACATTCCCAATCCGATGGCTCTGGGATGTCTGGTCGGCCATACTCGATCGTGGGCCATCACCGAATCTCACCCGAAAGAATAGGAAGTTTTTCGTCTATCCCAGTGGTGCTTACACCACTTGGTAGCATGCGCATGCGCTGCCCGTTGGAGAAAAAGAGGGCTAGCCGGAAGTTGTTGAGGGGCTATGCCACGTGAGTGTACGACGGGCGAAGACATCGAGAAATGTCACGAGGCCGTAGAATTCCAATTTTGCTAGTTATCTCGCATCTTGATATTTGAATACATGCGGAAAAGAGGAGGGGTCCATCATAGACAGATTTACCTCGCGTTGTACTGACGTGCTGCGTTCACCGCTTTCTGTCATGGTATTGTGTTGGAAGCCCATGAAGTCACCCGTCGACCTTGAGTTAAGTTTCCTTCATTCAGTCTCCTTATAGATTGAGAGATCGCAGCATCTTTCCAATCTATCAATGATGCGCTGCTTTGAGAGAATCAATGACGCTGCCAAGCCCATTGAGGAATCCCGCGTCGGGGGCTACCATCCAGTGCACTTTGGGGACATTCTCAACGAGCGCTATCAGATCATTGGGAAATGGGGCTACGGCACGTTTTCAATACAATGGATAGCAAGAGACCTATGGTAGGTTTTAAGCCATTTCGATGCGAAGTCAACGCGGCATTCCGATCTAAAAGTGTGCTTGCTAGGTTACAAAAGGACGTCACCTTGAAAGCTGAAAGCTATTGAAGCAGACGCCTCCAAAATCAGCAAAGAGACTCTTTGCCCTGCTTCAACTATCAAAGCTAGAAAAGTCTCATTTGAAGAAAGGTCACATTATAGATCTCTTTGATAATGTTGAATACGCGGGGCCGAATGATCTGCATCTAGTGCTCATCTTCCCACCTATGCTATCCGATGGTGAAAGAATGAGCGGGCGGCCGACAACAGGCTCCGATGACTACTTACGAGCTATTTCTCTTCAAGAAGATCTGTTCTTTGGAACATTTGTTGAAAGCTTCGTCCATGCTGGGAGGGTGTCGATGGCATTTTACTGACTGTAAATAGGTTGGCAACCCGCCAATATCCTATTCTCTATGGAATGCGACTCGATCAGTGATATTACCATGCCTTCAGAGTATAGCCCTGTCAGTTGGATCCATGGAGTTCTGTGCGACAAGTGTGCTCCTGAGTGTCTGGTGTTTCAACATCCTCATGGTCTCCTGGACGATGCCGACATCTCAACCCTGATCACCAATGTTGGTGATCTAGGTGGAGTTATTGCCTTTCGTGAACCTAAAATGCCGTGTGCGAAGGTTCTCAAGAGTTGTCCGCAACGGCGACAATTCTTGAGCGAGAATTGCCATTTTGAGAGCTTGGATTTGATGAACATCACAAAGAAATATCACGTCTGAAAATTAACACTGTTAAAAGTCACCCCTAAACTGTCACGTCCACTTTCTCCGATGCTGCCCGAGCAGACTCCAAAATTGGAGCAAATTTAGATTTTTTGCGCAACGCTGGTCCCCATTTGATGAATAACAAGGGAATCGGGATCATGATGAGCGCGAGACACCCAAGAAGTGTGGCGGCCCATTGCACACCCAAGTTGACAAACATTTGCTTTGAGAACAATGGGAATGCAGCTCCCACCGCTGATCGAATTATGGTATTCGCAGCAAAAACCGATGCGGCACTGGATTTCAAGGTCAGCGTATTACTCACCAGTGAAATGCAGACAGAGAATCTTACAATGTTAAATACGAGTCAATCAGGTAGTTGAAGCACTGCAAGAAGATCACATAGATGCCGAATCCAGTCACGATTCCGCTGGCGGTCGGGGCCATCCAATGGATTTCCTTTGTCCATCCAGTCCAGCCATACCAGAACAACCCGACACAGAAGCAAACACCCCCAAGGATAGCTGGAAGAAGTCTCCATTCCGGAACGGGGATGTTATTGTTGGCAGCCAGCTTTTTGGTATACGATCTCTGGTCAAGAAGGATATAGGCGCCAGCTAGAATCTCGCCGATAATCAATCCGATGAATGGAAGACTTCCAACACCGAGGTTCATTCCGTGAATTCCTTGGAACACAACGGGGTACGCACTGAGAAGCGCGTACATCAGACCATATACAAAGCTCATCCAGAGAGAGATCTAAAGGAACGTCAGCTGGGATCAATTCAAGATCTTCACGCATGACTTGCCAGAAAAACAATGGGCTCGGTGAAAAGCATACGGAACGGCCGACTGAAATTATTGGTGATTAGCTCACCCCAATCGAGCTCGATCTCTTCTTGCCTGGCGCGGATTCCCCAGTTATGTGTCTGCCGTCGCAAGAGGGCCGCTTTTTCCACAAGGACAGCGGGTGCATACGTCTCTTTCAAGCAAAGCAGACAAAGACCAGTGGCCAGCCACCCCATAATGGACGATATGTACATGGTCCACCTCCACCCCAGATAAGACATCGTGATGAAGCCTCCAGTGAATGGAGACGCAAAAGGCCCCACGAACACAGCCATGGCAAAGATAGCGATAGCCACGCCCCGCGTCTGGTTACTCCAAATATCGGCAAACACGGCCGGAACGTTAGCGATCGGGCTAGCAGAGAAAAAGCCGGCAAAGAATCGCGCCAACATCAAGGTCTGAACGTCCTTGCTAGTCGCTGCTGCAATGCTGAAAAGGGAGTAGCCGAACATGCCAATGCAAATGGGCCATCTTCTCCCGATGAGCTCACTTGCCGGTGCCCATACTGTCGGGCCCGAGGCGAATCCTAGGACATACAGGGTGACACCGAGGGTGGCGACTTCCGTGCTGATGTGGAAGTGCCCACTGATATGTCCTACTGCGGAAGAGTAGATGGCGCTGGAGAAAGAGGAAACAAAGGTCGTGTATGCTAGGGTCGCTGAGATGCCGATTTTGCGTTTAAGGGACCAGTTCTGAGGGTGCATGGGATCATTTGCATCGTTGAATTCGACGATGTATTCTTCTGGATCTGGGAGAGATGGAGGATGAGGCTTTCCAGCTCCAAGGGGGAGCCACTTTTCACGCGGTGTAATTCCTGCAACGGAGCCAACGGTTGAGCGATGTTGAAGTCGATAAGTATTGATTCGCTCTAGCGCGACTTCGTTCGGGTTGCTTTGACGGCGATTGAGGGTCCCGGAGCGCAGAGATCCAATTTCCGACCCACCGCGATCGGGCCTCGTCATGATAGTACTTAGGTCATCCTCGGTTCCATTAGAGCTAGGATCGCGTGGGCTGTGAGACATGCTGATAGATAGGATAGTATGGAATGCACTGGACTTCTAGAGACGAATTTATAACCATTTCCCAAGGTTAGCATTCCAAAAAGATTTGCTGCTTAGGATCGAACAGCCAGTTTCATCATTTGGTGGTAGCGCATAGCGTCATTGAGTGTTGCTTTTCCTCGGTTGATTCGTTCGAAGGGCTACGGGAGTCCGCTGCTGCCGCAGTGGACTGCCGTGACGTCCTAACGAGGTAATATGTTCCGGACCCCAGTGAGTAAACCATGGTTTGACTCGTGGAGAAGTCAGTTTGGGTGTGATGAACTGTCTCGATTTTGATTTTTTTTTAATGATATAGATTCATATTACGAATCGGCTACGAGAGTGTGAGGGTCATTGAAGTGTTTGGGAAAAGCGCCAACCTTTTATTGTTGGAGAGCATCTTCAGAGATCGGAACATGTGGTGATCGCCCGGGATAGGGACAACTCCATAAAAATGTGGGCCCCGAAAACTCAAGAAGAGTAGTCGGACAACATGCGATCTCACACGAAACCTGTAAGTTAAGATTGGAGTGTGTCCGATCCAAAAGATCAGGTACAGTACTGATAGACATACAGTGAGTACAAAGTTTGGCGCAACTTATCCTGGTCTTGTTAGCCACCTTGCTTGCAAATCTCACCTGGGTGAAGCCGATCGACGGTTGCAATGGCACTTAAAATCTGATCGGTCATTTTTCATTTCGGTGGGAATCTCGTCTTCGCAACCAAAAAAAAAAAGATTCATGATAGGGAAACATTTTTGTGTCCAACGTGTGCTTAGAAGAAGAGTGTGTGATCTCCATTCAGCCTAGCTATACAGGTTATGTTCTCATGTGTCGCCATCGTAGTACCTTTGGGAATGCTTCAAACATTTTGATCCTGCGCCAAAAGGTTCGGGCAACTGTGTAGTTCAAAATGTACGTTAAGGAAGGGCTGAATCAGTGATAAGAACCATGACCCCTCAGTTGGAGGGGGCTGTGTTGGGGCTTTTACCCCAATCATAGAAATCTCAGCAACAAGCTACCCCTATCTTTTAAAAATGGAAATGACGGGAAAAGCGCAGGTTTTGCGTCGCTCTGTCAGGAGATTCCCTGGAGCCCAATTGCGAACCATGCAGCGCTTTACGTCGGGGCCACTCACGATGGCCCCAATCTTTAGTGCCCGCTTTATAAATAAACAAGACAGATTGTCTGCCCTGTGAGTACCGCTTAAGCCAAGAAGATCCCCATGTCGCAACTACGAAGATTTTGGACTAAGAAACCCGACAAGATGAGGCACTCAAAACGACTACCGTACGGCGCTGTAGCAGTCGAGGAAAATCACTCAAGTTCAAGGTCATCCTCAGAATTTCAAGATTATACCACTATTGAGTTTCCCGAAGTTGACGAGCAGAAGCCCCAACCGCAGCTTCTCAAGCGCTCACAGTTGGATAGAATTTTTCGTTTGCTATGGGACATGATTCTTGCGATTGTAGCGTTTCTCTTTGCCCTGTTCGGTATTTTGGTTTCTTGGATGGATGGAAAACCGGCCGGTCCAGAATCTGTAGGCTCTAAACTCTTCGAAGTCTCTCGATTTGTTAGCTTCCCCTGCTCCGACACTCGCCCTCCTCAATTATCGTCAAATCTCGCTGACATCCTATTTCCACCTGAAGGCACCCACTGTATTCCCAGTTCTTTTTGCTGCTATTGCCGGGAGCAGCATCAAAAGTCTCGCATCGTGGCGCATTCAAACCACCGGAGGAGCAACGATCGGGCTAGTAGAGCAGTGCCTTGGCAGCCAGACCATTACAGGAGCCTTTCTCACTCAGATTAGACTGCGTACTATGAACTTCGTTGCCGTCTTTATCGTCCTTCTGTGGTGTTTATCGCCGCTGGGAAGTCAGGCATCGCTCCGGATCATTTCCATCGTCCCGAGTTACCCAGCCAATCCAATCGAGTTGACCAGTTTCAACACCTTCACCGCGTACCAGTTCGGCTACAGCCAAGTGATGTCGATGGCCAAAACATCAGTCGCCATCCCCATGACTGCTTCGATGTCGGCGGCCTCGCTACTTTCCACCCGCAATCAAGATCTCTGGGGCAACATCCGATTTCCTGCGATTGAAAATCTCGAGAAAACCAGCACAGGATGGATGCATGTACCCCAAAATGACAACTTGACGTACGCGTCTCTGGTTGGTGTGCCGGTGATTGGCTTGCCTAGTGCCGGCAACACATCATTCATCCTCCCTGGCTCCTATTTATCCATCTCCTGTCCTGTCTTCGACACAATTCACACTCTCAATCTTACCGATTTCGCCGGGCCAGATGCTCCATCCCCCGGCAATGGCGACGATTGCAGCTGGACAAGCGCATGGGGTGGATTTCAATTCCAGCTTGCCCTCTCAGAGCCATGTTCGAACGCACTCAACGCATCGAAGACGAGGACTCGGAATGCCCGCAAGCTGATATGGGAGTCATGGGACCGCGGCTATGCAGACGATGTAAGGGATAGATCCCCCATCACGCGAGCTATCTGTGATATCACTACGACCTATGTCGATGCCAATGTGACCTGCGAGAGCTTAGACGGGAAGCAATCCGTAAAGACTTGCGACCTACTCGCCGCTCGCCGATCGGTAGATAGATCCCATTTCCACCAAAATTGGACTGTCTTTGATATAAACCCCCCAGGGAATTTTCAGTTGATGAAAGGTTATAACAACGGAGTCTTTGATCTTCTCACTACGATGTTTCCACACATGGACGAAAACGGTGGCCTCCAGCCCGTCATTGGATATTTTATAGACCCTTTTCAGGCTATCGGAACCTTTTTCAGCGAGACACTTATGTCGCCTGAGACCACCACCTCAAGTGTCTTTGGTACGCGTCTATCACAGCTCTTGAATTCCTTGCTCTACCTCGGGATCAATCCCTCGACCTTCACGGGCTCTGTTGACATGATGCAATTCACACGGGAAGGAAGCACGATTAAGGATACCCCGTTCAAAGTGACTGCCCAAACTACACATCTACGGAATATCGTCAGGTGTCACCGTCCCTGGCTTGCCGTCCTTATTGTTTCATCGGTGGTTATCTTCAGCATTGCCGTGATGGCGGCTTATCTCCATATTAAAACGATCGCCCCCGATCTTCTAGGATCGATCTCCGTTGCCCTGCTGCAAAATAAGACCGACGGAATTATCGGTTCTTCTATATGGACTTCAGATGAATGGACAAAGAACATGCGAGACAAGAAACTTTGGCTTGGAGACGTCCAGCCTGGGGCTGAGATTGGGCGCCTTGCCTTGACTACTGTGGCACAAGATTTTCCTCTTGGTTCAAGAAAGGAAAGGTCATATTATTGAAATCAACAATAGATATCCATCGGTGGTAGCTGATCAAGAATAGCAGTCTCAGTGATCATTGATCTCCGCCGAATCTGGCTTGGGAATGAGACATCTGTACGACTTTATGATCCTTTCCCCCCACATATCAGAGTCACAATTTAGCATTTTATGAGAAGTCAATACATGCCCAAAAAAACGTCCACTACACTCTCGAATGCTGCCGCTTTCACAACGCCAATATGGGGGTAAGGGGACACGTTAAAGAAGAACATCTAAGAAGACGTCTACATGTACCCTGAAGAGGTGCCAAAAAAAGACCTGAAAAAGCCATATCCGCGGCTAGCCATTCTAATAGCTGATACTTGGGTGTTGTTTAAAGGTTTGAAGAACCGATTTAGTACCTCTGTCTCGGCCACTCCAACAGGACTAGTTCCTCTCTGAAGACTTCATTTGTACCCTGCAGGATAGGTTGCCGAGACAAATCGACAGTGAAAACCCGACAGAGGGAATCTATTCCGAGAACAACGTGCAGCTGAGCGTTTTCATCTCGGTTGGGGGTGAAAGTCCCCACTAGCGGCTCTCTCTCCACCTGACCTACAACGACGATCTTCACTAGAAAGCAGCAATACATAAGAATCAGCATGATATGGACTACGTGGGAAGAAAATCACAACGATAAGGAAAAACCAACAACAACCGGAGATCTTCCTTTTTCATCAAGATTACATCAAGCCAGGGTGACGGAAATTAAGCTCGACTAATACCAAGCAGCCAGATGCCAGAGGATATCCATAAAAGAGGCATTTCACGCTCATTTGGCCCACAGGAGCTGAAACAGAGAAAGAAGCCTCACGCGGTGAGAGGTAGTAGAGGGAGAGCGTCAGTAGTGGAAATGAAGTGGCGAAAGGGATAATATTAGGAACCGGAGAGGGGTTGCTACAGGAAGCTTCGCATCATGAATTAAGAGTACTGCTTGAGTAGGAAGGGTGAGAATCAGAACAGGTAGGCAGAACGACGGAATAGGGAAAAAGAGGGCTTGATGATCTGGAAGACATTGGCTCTTCCTGCTTATCTAGTCTGCTTTGGCGAGAAGGAACGGTTCATGGGTGAATGTGCCTGATTTCTACCTGTACCCCGGGGCATTTTCTCCCTCAAATTTATGTCGCCTTTGGCAACCTTTCTGGATTTGATTGGAACGCAAGTCAATTTTTGACATCGAGAAATGTCGGACTAGACTGTAGCGGTCGACCTTTACTGAGTGGAGAAATCAACGACTGAAGACCGAGAAGCTAATTTAGAACGGTGAGTAGCACGATTCCTAGCGCATCTCCAAAATGGGATATTACTCCCACACTAATAAGTCGTGTGGATCGCAGGGGAATCAGGCTGCTTCTTCAGGTAGCGACAGTTTTAAAAAGCTATAATTGAACCCAATTCTGATCCCGTGGCAGTACGGCATGAAAGACCATGCAAGTCAATGTCTGGCCTCTAGTGGCTGACCGTTCACACAGGGTCCTTCGGGAGACCACTTTGGGATGGAACTGTCACTGTATCGAAAGAATCGAAATTCCAAGTCTCACGACTATACCGGAAAAAAACATCGAATGTAGCTCACAACTCTGTCTCTGTGGCTTCTATGTCAAGGCTCGACCTTCAATGCGTCGGGCGGGACAGTTAGTAGACCGTTGCGGCTATTGGAAATTACCAGTTTATAGCAGCATTTTATTGAATGTAGACGTCGACAATCTCTTTGGTGATGAATGAAAAGAGAAGAGTGGTCGTAAAAAGTTGACAATAAGTTGGACAGTTCTTGCCGCTGGAGGTGACGTCAAAACACAGTTTGAAAGGTATGATGTGCACAAGGTCAGTTCTAGAATGAATGCAGTTGAGCATCATTGTTCTCAAGGAAATCGGAATCAGTCAAATCTCCTCCATGGCTAGCGATCTGCTCAATGGCTTGCACAAATAAGATAGACTTTATCGCCGCTGTTCAACAGAAAGCCCCAGTTACATTGAACGGCTTTTTCACCAGGTACCCGAGAAGCCGAGCATTCAACATGATTGATGGGTGACGCAGCGGTACTGGTACGGCCTTAGGGGATGCCCAAAGTTACTAGTTTGGATGTAGTAGTTTCGCTGCTACATGTAGGTGGCCTACCAAAATGGATCCCACTCTTCTTGTATTTGCAAGTGGTGAAGATGGCGAAGGATGACCGTTTATAGTTTGTGGCACAGCATAGGCTCATGCTGGTGAGGAGAGCTGGTGCTTGGATCTCGGAGCGCTGCGGAGCTTGTCTTCTCGCAAATTTAACTTGCCAAATGCACTGTCCATGGTACACAATTGCCGTTGATCCAATCAAATTGCAAGCCAGTCTCAAGTTGGAGGTTAGCTAGAGATGCTGCGATGTACCAGGGGACCCAGCATCATCAATTGGCAATGTTTCTTGTCCGCCGCGTGCCGGAGGTTCCCCTAGTGAACGAAAAACACGCTGGCGGGCTTGAGCACTTGTCTCGAGATTCCCCCGACAACATCACCGTCGTCTGCTAGATAAATCTTAGAGCCTCCGTTTCAACTCAACATTCTGAATCTCACTGTGGTCCAAATTCGTCTCTTTCAACTAGCTTGTTATCGGCGTGAAAGTGAGTATCTTTCCCTAGGCCATCAAGATATTCCTTTCGACCGTTGCCTTCTTTGGAAGTTCTTATTGGTCATTCAGTTCTGCTGCAGCGAGATTTGAACGGTTGCTGAAATTTGCTCTCTCTAGCCGAGTCTTCGATTTACATCGCCACAGAGCCTCCACATCCAGTAAGAATAAATCCTTCAATTTTGGGCCATTTCCCCACATCTCTGCTTGCATGAGACAGCCTACAGGTCTAATTTCTAGCCGGGGACTGATCTATAGAACAGAACCCCCCTTGTTAACAACCGGCTATATGGCACCGATCAAAATCATCCACCGTACCAAGTCCGCATCCCTATCTCTCCATTCCATTGTGGAACGATCAGGCAAAAAGGGCAACTGGGCGAACCGGAACCGCGGAGTGGTGCTCATCTTCTGCATCGTCTTCCTCGTTGTGGTTGGAATCATGGCCCTTTTTGCGTACCGACGAATGTTGCAGCGAAAGGCCGAGAAGGAGTCTTATGAGACGACAAATGATTAGTTCAGGCTGTGCTTTGCTCTCTCCAGATCAGGATTGCCAATCAATCTAGCTCGGGTGCGGAGCTCTCGTTATGATCCGGAACTGCGTGGGTGGCTTACTCTGTTGGGTTGGGCTGCGCGGAGTCAGTGACGTTGTGTGTCTTGTCTGTTTGCTGAGATGCGACGTGGTGTTTGGCTCGAATCAATCCCCATTCTGCAGCTTCAAGCGAGATAGGCAGTTGCCCAGAGAATTACGTGACTGATCTCTAAGTCCCAGCTCATTCTATTTAGGTAACTTGACGAATTGATGGTTATCCATAATACGAACCTTGGTTTGGCGTGCACCGATCTCTGAGATGCATTTCTTCATGTCGTTTTTAGGCAAAATCAAAAACGCGAGTGGATGGACCAATCATCCCTTTGTGATTTTGTTGGTATCTCTATATCTTGGGCTTTTCTAGTCCATGCACGTTGCGCTGCTCGTTGCAGCAAGATCAGCCGTCGAGGATCTTACTCTCGAGGCGTGGAAAACGGGTTCGGACAACGTGATTGGTTATTTGCTTTGGCATCCTTCTCGGAGTGACCAGTATGAGCTTTGTTCCAGATTTACATCGTAGGTAAATGTGACAACTCGCCATGTTTGTAGAAGGCCTCTCCGTTTTGTGTCGGCTCACCCGTCGATGTTGGTAAGATGGCTAGTAAATTTGCATTTTGGCTTCCTGCCTGTACCGGAGGCTCTAGTAACCTAGACATGCCCTTTTCAAAAAGAAGAAGCAACGTAAGTAGCGGCATAGGGTTACAATCAACCTGTGATGACATGCACCTTTTGTAGAGAGTTTGATCTATTTACATTTCAATCGAGCGGAAAACAAGACTGAAAAGGGAAATTCTTGAGCAGTCCAAGTAGCTACTATCGCGATGCGAGATTATGTGAGAAGCATCTAGGGCCCTTTTAATCAGCCTTTTCTTCGGCTCCTGTGTGCACCTTCCCCTTGTACAGAACCACACTTTGCCTCTTATCATATCGGTCAATTCTTATTCTCGATTTTTTTATAGGAACTCCTCATTATATGCCAGGCCTTTTGCCCTTTTTACGGATTCTTTTGAGACCATCACGTTACATTTGACTCATCGATTCGGATTATTAAAGTACAATCATGAGCTCCGAAGCAAGCCCGTCTGGTATTCGCCCAACTGATGACAAGGGAAAGAGAAAGCGACCCGAGTCTCCCTCTCAAGACCCAGAGTCTAAGAAGGTTAACGTTCTACGTCTGTGTATGAAACCATGTCGCTGATCCACGATTCGATAGTCCGGGGATATCAAACCCCCTCAGAGGCAGTCAGCGAGGATTGAATCGCTCAAGGTCAGACTCGCTACTGCTATCAGAATATGTTGTGTTCACACTGAGAAGCAGGGAAAAGCTAACCCCCTAGATCTTGGTGACATATCTCCCAAGGGATCTTTATCTCAACATCCACAGTCCCATATGGAGTCTCATGGTGCGGTGAGAAATCCTCAAAAAAACTCTCTGCATTTCACAAACGCTAATTACGGGGAGAAAAGTCACCGTGGCCCACCGAAGCGAGTGCGCCGAATCATCCTGATCAGACATTCGATGACTTTGGCGATTTTAGGAAGTTCCTATGTGACTCCCGGGACGAGGCAAAGCTTGCCGTATATCTTGGACTTCAGCACAAACACGACCTCAGACATTTCGCTTTGTCCTGGCCTGTGATCAAGACGTGGATTAGGGCACCATATAAGCAGACAAACTCGCTCAAAGACCAGATAAACCTTATTATCTATGGTAGCAAAGAATTAGCCTGCATCGAAGATCCTCACGAAATTTGGCCGCAACGTCCCCGAGAGTCGGAGGAGCGCGCTTCTTTGAGAGTTGCCCATATTATGGCATGGTATCTGGTGCAGATGTCCAAGGACATTGGAGAGTACATCGGGTCCAGTGATCTGGATAATTTTCACCGCACACGGAGATATCGCGGTGAGCTCAGCGCGATTTTGGAGCTCGATATCCCGCTGGACAACATTTTCCATCCTCGCCCCCAGCTTGTAACTTGGAGAAACGAACTGAGCGACAAATTCAATCGTTGCTGGGCAATATTGGGCTATGTCTCGTGGATACCCTACCTAAAATCCTGGGAAACGGCTCTGGGATTTTTCGCATCGTCAAAAAGCAAGGCGATCATTTACGACAGCGGAATACCGACAAAACCGAAACCACGACCCAACCACCTGACACTATCTCAGCAATGTCCCATTTCATCCCTCGAGCGAAGAATTAAAGCCCCTATTCCTTTGCAAGTCAAGGTAGCCTGGGACAGGAACGACAACACACACAGAAACATGAATCTGTGTCGGGTCCTCACAGCTGTCGCACGTGACGGGAAGGTGCTCCCCCAGAGAGATCAAATGATGACACAAGACCCTCGGGCATGCAGAACAGGCGCATCTTTTCGGGATCTCATTCGACATATGATGTGTTGTGGTGGTTATGGATTGAACTTGTGTGACATGAAGCTGTCGTATTGCGCGGAAACAGAAAATTGTTATTATGAGATCGACGCTTTCCGAACTCAGTGGAAGGTACTGCAAGGAATATTTTCAGACGCTGCAAACTCGAATTTTGTGATTTGGGTACTTCTGGATGTCCACGATTACCGAAATGGGGAGATCTATGAGACGACTGAACTACCACCAGTGTATTGAGTACAACCTTTCGACGCCAAACACACCTCAACGTGTTGTTGGCTTTTATCGAGGAACCTTCAACAGAATTACTGGAGCCCATTTCTATTTTGCCTGTGATTTCCCATCACTTTGATTTAGTTGTTTTCTTATTCGATGTTCAATTGGTAGGAGTGACAAGACAGTCAGCTAGACGGCTGTTTGGTCATAAGAACCCGTCGAGTTGGGAACGAAAACCCTCGTTGGGATTACAAAAGGTAGCTGACCATCTTCTCATTCCTACTAATCGAAAGTTCTTTCGGCTTCTTGGCAATGACTATTTGAATCCTGTAGCGCCGCGAGCATGAATTTAAATAAACGTTCCATCGATAATTAGTAGTTGTGGTTATGATGTGCACGAGTAAAAAGCGACATCCTTGTACAAGTTGAGAAACTTGTCATCGGAGCCTGACCAGATGTCAAGAGATGCCTAAAAGTTGCCACATCTCCAACCGACTGCTGTGGTAATTCGATCTAGACTGTCCGGTTCCAGCCTGGTGGCTTTTCCGCCATAATTTTTTGGGGGTGCAAATGCATCGGTAACTAGAGACACTCTATAGCAATTCCGGATAGAGTCTTGCACGAAATCTGGAATTTTCACCCCAAATAATGACTACTGAGTGGTAGCGTAATTGAATATGTAGAAATCAGGTCACATCAGACAATCGTCTGCAAAATCACTATAATTCAATCTTGTGGAGATGACAAAGGCGTAGAGTTATCTCTTCATTAAATCACCGACCCGAGCACTTTGATAGCCGTCCTGGCTCCGCAAAACGTGACGCCATTTCCCCTGAGCTTGGACACTACCTGGATGTATAAAGCATCCTTAGGGCTTTTAGACAAGATCTTGCCTCAACTAGGAACCTAAATCCCCGTCATCGATTTCCCCAACTGGCCCTGTACCTTGGCAGCTCCGAGGGGATATCAACATGGCGAATTGAGAAGAACGTCACTTCCATGGTGTCGTGTGATGAGACCAATTGATCTCTTAGTCCAGTATGAATCCAGCTGTCATCTGAACTGAATGCCTGCTTTCCTTTTCTTCTATCCAACTCCACCACTAAGGGCCTATTTGAAGTGATTTATTCAGTATTCTATTTCCGGTGGTATCCTGGCTGGGCAGATCACCCGCTCTTCTTCAAAATTGTCTTCCTGACTTTCCCGATCTATCGGGTCTACATCCTGACATGGATCTATCTTCGCTGCCGGCATTACCGACAGACCGGGCCGCAGATACTCGCCAATGATCTTTGCCATCCCAGTGAATCGATTTATAAATCGTCGTCCGTAAGAGTCGACTATAGTTTTTTATTCTGGCAAATGCTCTCAACCTGTCTACGCGCATTCGGTGCCAGTTTCGGTGCCGCCACGCAATGGCTGTTCAAATTCTTTATCACCAAGATAACTTCTCGCACTCTTATTGATGTTTCCTGGATGACTCTCCTCGTGTTTCGAATCTTAACACTGATGTGGAACACACATTGCAAAAGACTCAAATCATGCATGGAGAGAATGCAGGGAACACAAGAGACTGCGGAGCTGAAGGAGTGAAATAGATGATGGATCCCGTGTTGTGATGTCAATGGATCGAATACTGTTACATAGTGTATACATAGATAAACGGAAACATACCTTGTGGATATTGATGGGGATCTTGAAGTTGGGATGCAAATAAGCTCTCACACCTCATCGCCGAGAGCCCCACAATAAATTCCGCGGGGAGATTTCCCCTCACGCTTAAATTTTTCTTTCCGCACCCTTCGACGCCAACAATCTCGATGGGATCGTTCAACGAAACTTGCGCTTCTTTGCGCGCTCAAATCATCGCGACAGAAGCACAGCTTACTGAGCTCAAACGCGACCTAGCAAACGCCGAACAAGCGGCGCGATCAGAGACGGCAACAGCTGCGGAAATCCATCCTGAGGACCAGAAGGTCGAAGTAAGACAATGGCCATTGCTCCAGGAGGAATATAAGAGATATGGACGCCAGATGATAGTTCCGCAAGTTGGGTTGAATGGTAAGCTATGGCTCCGTTTTGGCGGAAATTTGGAAAGTACCTCCCTTGAGCAGTGTGACTAATCGCGATTTCAATGAATCCACAGGCCAACTGAAGCTTCGATCGGCGAAAGTTCTACTTGTTGGAGCTGGAGGGCTGGGATGTCCAGCTGCGCAGTATCTTGCTGGTGCTGGCGTTGGCACGATTGGACTCATCGATGGTGATTCAGTCGAGGTATCGAATCTCCATCGCCAAGTGCTACACCGATCGAAGAATGTGGGGAAATACAAGGTGGACAGTGCAATCGAGTCCTTGCGAGAGTGAGTCAATTCGGGTCGGAGCTTTGAGCTGGGCGTTGACGATTTCTTGACATTTACCAGACTGAATCCGCATCTGACGTACATTCCTCATCGAACACACCTCTCGCCCGAGACAGCAGCCGCGGTCTTCCAGGAGTATGATATCATTCTTGACTGCACAGATAACCCGGCAACGCGTTATCTGATCTCGGACACTGCAGTGCTTCTCGGAAAACCATTGGTCTCTGCATCCGCGCTGCGGACCGAGGGCCAGCTGATGGTGTTGAACAACCCGCCTCGGGCACCAGGCGACAAGTCTGGAGGACCGTGCTATCGATGTGTGTTCCCGAAACCACCACCAGCTGATAGCGTGGTCAGTTGTGCGGATGGGGGTATTATAGGGCCAGTTGTTGGGACGATGGGGGTGTTGCAAGCCCTGGAGGCGATCAAGGTTATCACTGTACCTGACATTGATGGAGGTTTTGATATGAGCGCTGCTCGTCCACGGGATCACCCGTCTTTACACATCTTCTCCGCATACTCATCGCCCCTCGTCCGTACAATCCGCCTTCGTTCGCGCCGGGCCAATTGTGCCGTGTGTTCTGCCGGGGCAACTGTCACACTAGACACAATTAAATCCGGGTCAACGGACTATGTGTTCTTCTGTGGATCTGCAAATCCACCCTCGTTACTTGGTCCCGAGGAACGTATCTCTGCTCGAGAATACAACGAGAGACACCCAAATCTTACTTCAGATTCGCCACAACTCCACACGATAATTGACGTCCGAGATGAAGCTCAGTTTGGGATATGCAGTCTGAAAAATAGCATCAACATTCCAATCTCCAATATTCTGTCCTCGGGTTATGGTGCTACACTACAGGGGTGTGATAATGGGCCACAGGCTGCACAATTACCTTCTTGGTTACCGTCTGAGGTTGTCTCCCCTGAGTCTACGAACCCAATTTACGTCGTCTGCCGTCTAGGAAACGACTCGCAGATCGTCGTGAAGAAAATGAAAGAGCTAGGGCTAGATCAGCATGGAAAGAGGTTCATTGGTGACATTCGCGGAGGACTACGATCATGGAGAGAACAGGTGGATTCTTCGTGGCCTGAATACTAAATGAATCAGGCTGCTAGATTCTCACGTACAATTACTGTCCGAAATACATTCCTTCCTTCTCCTGTTGTGACCAATCTGCCAGTCTCGAAGTGCCTCTCACACTCAATGACCATGTGAGATTAACCAAATCATGGCTCCATCTATATCCACCACCAATCAGTGTGAACCCGGCCCTCATCGAGATTACCGAGTCTCTCAAAAACACCACGGCTGACGTCAATGTCAAACTCTCTGCATCCCTCACAACGGTCTACCAAAGTGGCATCTATGCCCCTGTCGCCCCGTTGAATGTGAATTAACCGTCCACAAAGTGGATTGTGGTTGGGGTTGCCATCTACATTTGCCCGGTCAAACACAATGTGAGACACGGCGCAGACGTGGTCCCACCCGTTATTAAACCAACCGCATGCTCCAAGCCCGGTGTCATACCAGGTTAGATCGCCACCAGTAGCCTGGATTGTGGCGGGAATGTGTGTGCTGTTTGACGCGCTAGGAGTGGGGTAGAGTCAGCATGGGCTTCGATGGATCGTGGATTTGTACATTGGAAGAGGAATTAAAAGGATAGACGAGTACGTGACTGTTAACTTACAGGCTGGTATTATGAGAAGTGATGGCTTCGAGGGGATCCATGGGAGCACCAGTTGCCAATCCCATGAAGAGAAAGAGAAATTCTATCATGGCGATGGCCTTGCACTCGAAGATTGCGTTGGAAGTCATTATCTGGTCTGCTGCTTCTTTCTTTTTATCAAAAGTGATGGTTCTGCTGGTCACTTCCAGGTCAAGGTTGGATTCGTTCGTCGTTTATAACATGTTCCCGTGAAGAGCTTTTGTCCTTGACCGGTGTATAGATCTACATTCAACTAAATGCCGCGGAGTTTCATTAGAAATACCAACAAACTAAATCGGAGTATCTGAAATGACTGGAGTGAATGCAGTGTTTCGATGGAACTTTTGGGCTGTCGCTATCAGAATGTCAGAAAAAGTAGAAAGCGAGCAGCACTTATTGACACATTCTCGATTATCCAAACATTACCGTATCCTGGCGCAATAGTGCGTTTGAATCTCTCGTTAAAACTGTTGTGAAGACTATAGGGGCACTGTCTAGTTTACAATGTACGAGAAGGAGGAAGATAGGAGGAAGCGACATAACCCTAAAAGGAAGGATACACTCCGTGACTCGTTCTGTATACAATACACTCTGTACAAGACAACCCTCCGTCCTAAATTTTTTTTCAACAAGGATATGCATCTCGAATCTTTGTCTGTAAGATGTTTGGGTTTTCTGATATCTGTTCATCCAGATCGATCTCTGTTCAGTAGGGTTGTTATGTATGATGAAATAAATATACTTCAATGCCACTATGCTTCATTCGATAAAGGAAAAGTCCAAGTAAGGGAGTATATGTCAGAAGTTGTCCCAAAAATTTTAATCCCGCATGGATGAAGAACTTGAATACATAGAGACAGAAGTCCTTTTTGTCCACAATTTTCCTGGACGAAGTCACCCTGCGTAACTACCACGGATCACTCCTAAATATTGGAGAGTAGCAGAGGATTTCCGATGGTAGTCTTTGAAAGGTAATCGCGCTTTTATTTACTCCTGAAAACAATTTCAAATTTCATCGGAAGCTATTCCCACATACACTCATCCTAACATAGGTAGTGAGTGACATGCCGTCCCGAACGTGCGATCACTGATCAGAAAAATAACACTGATACAATTAGCCTTCTTATCTTTATTTGTGTCCTGGAATCAAGACGCTCCTCGTTTAGCTATTTATAGACAACTCACAAGGAACGACAAGGGGAGCCGATTTGATCATCACAAACTTGATGCAGTGATTCTCAAATTACATTAAGATCCTATTCTATACTGGTGGAACAATCCCTTTTTTTGGCTTCTCGGATTGGTGTCACGTCGCATAAAAGTGAGCGTACTAAAAAATCACATGGGAAGACGTGTGCTGATATCATTGATGGCATCCGATCTCTCTATTGTGACGTTGCTTTATCAAGCTTCCCTGCTATAATGAAGCTTCTATTAGAGCGTGTTCCCATTATCACATAACACATGGTAAGTGCAGTGTTCTTAACAATCTTGGAAAATTTTAGGTTATGGCTCGGACTTTCTATATACTGGTTCAAATAAAATAGTTGGATTTGGGAAAAACCTAGACGGATTCCCAATGGCCAAAAGGCTACGTTAAATAATAGACTATACGTACTCTCTGCCATACAATTAGGTAGTATATGGTTGGCTCAATTTGTTTGACATTTGTTGTGGTATAATATTTCACCCATATCATACGCAGTGTGTTGATGTTTGGAACATTTTCAGGATCTCAAAACTCATCCCCCTAGTCTACTAAGCCTCAATAATTTTTTCTCATATCTGACTAGAAGCACTAGATCGTTCATTTGAACTTGCTACCTCCATCGGGTCTTTGCACCATGGTGAGTCAATCATGTGGACATAGTTGGTCGATCGGCGATCGGATGGCAGACCGATAGAACTGGCTCATCTGATTCTAGTCAACGCGATCAGATAGCTCTAAATTTGCAAGGCTTAAGAAGGCAACAAACACAGCAATTTTATCTCGAGTCTACTAGACGAAAGAGTTGTGTTGTGAAGAATTAGGCCTGACAAATCGGGCAGCAACATTCCAATTTTATATGCGGAGAGCGTTCCTCCCCCACATACGGCAGCCAATCATTGAAGGGCGGGTGTACTGCAAATGTCCACGATCGGGATTTCAATCCGACCTCGGTGCTCTGTCATGTTATTCAACCAGCCTTGTAAGACTCACTCAATCCGTCGCGTTCTTGCCTGCCTTGCAGATTCCCTCTTTCTAAAGTCACGTGGGTTATGCCGCGTTCCTGAAGATTCGGAGATTTTGAGGCTGGGCCGAGTCACAACACTGCGTGATCCTGGTGAATATGGCGCAAATTCGATCCCATGAGTTGGGCTCATCCTTCGGGTCTTCACCAACGCCTCAGGATGTGCAAAATGACCCTAGCAAGGAGAAATCATCATTCATCGACTTTGTCCAAAAAATGTGGCAGAAAACCGGGTTGGATAGGCCCACAGTCCTCTTGATGATGAAGTGAGTTCAAGATCAAGTTTCTCTTATGATACAGCAGAAGATCTCTAACAGCTACTCTAGGGGTGGTATTTCCCCCACCATAGCCATTTCCATGTTAGTAACCAGCCTTGCAAGTTCTCGGCCTATCAGAATCACCCTGACCCTTATATAGCTGCCAAGCCAAGCCTGTAGCCGACGAGTATACGACCTTGGGCTATCTCGTAGCCATTGTCTCTATACTGGGCTTTGCCATTATGCCCCGGGCTAAGTTCATTCAGATGATGATCTTTGATGTTTTTGCGGTCTGCATAGCAGCATGTTTTGCCTTGTTGACAATGTTCTGCAGCGTCAGGGCGCGCCAACACACCGCTACTAACCCTACTGAGGCATACAACTCCTCCGCCTCTGCTGTCAGTGGTCTGTGGTTGTTCATCCAAATCTGGATGGTTCACACCTTTCGAGCCAAATACCCGCAGTTGCAATTCCCCGTGATTATTTACGCAATCTTCGCGAACATTTCTTCAATATACGCCCCTCAAATGAAGAACATGACTGCTGCGTCTAATATGGTGAGCAAGTTACTCAAAGCTTGCCTTACTGGCCTCGGTATTTCAACAGCAACGTCGCTATTTATTCTTCCGATGACATCACGGCAGGTCGTCCTCAAACAAATGGCAGGCTATATTGGCGGACTTCGCTCAGCCTTGAATGCCCATGCTTTGTATTTCCAATCACTGGAAAGAGAAGACATGTTTGGTCGCACGGAGACTTATGATGACGCCCGTGAGAAGTTTGGCAAGAAGGGAAAGATCTACAGTCCCGAGGCAGAAGCTATCCGCGGTGCGGTCCGACAGATTACAGATATACATGCCAAGCTCCATGGAGATCTTACATTTGCGAAGCGTGAGATTGCATTAGGAAAATTGGGACCTGATGATCTTCAGGCGATATTCCGTCATCTTCGCCAGATTATGATCCCGGTCGTGGGTTTGAGCTTCGTGGTGGACATCTTTCAGCGCCTGTCGGACTATAACAGATGGAATCAGCCCATTGATCTAAATGTGCCTGTGGTGCCAGAGGATATCCGACAGCGCGTTGTTCAAGAGTGGAATGATATCATGAGGGCGGTACACGATCCCTTTGCGGTGATGATCCAAACTATTGATGAGGGATTGCTGCACACTTCCTATGTCTTCGGACTAACAAAACCACCAAAACGCCAAGCTGCAGCGAAATCTTCAAACGGCTATTCAACAGAGGGGTGCGAAGATGTGGAGGCCAAAGCCGAGAACACTGCTCCGGGAGAAAAAGCATTCACGGAGCATTTTGAAAAGAAACTTGGCGAATTTCGAAGCGCAAAACGCCTTGCTCTGCAGACTTGGGCTGAGGAGAAGGGAGTCACGCTCCCGCCCGACTTTTTCGATCACCCTGAAATGTTGAACACTGACTTTTTGGACACCTCAGCTACTCAAAAAGAGCGAAGCCGACGACAACTGTATCTATTTCTCTATGTGAGCCTTTTTCTACGGGCCAGTTAATCTGATTGAAGCTAACTTAACCTCCAGATGGAACAATTGCTGTACTCGACTGGCCAAACTGTTCTCGACTTTGTCCGTTATGCCAATCATGTTGAGGCTAAGGGAAAGCTACTGAAGACCCGACTCGTTATTCCTGGTGGCAAGCGAGTGTGGAAATGGGCCAAGTCCTTTTTGAGTGCTCAGGATAACGAAGATGATAATATGGGTGACATTCATACACAAAACAACATTCTTCAGCTTGGCGAGGCGTATAAACTGCGCAAAGACCCGGAGCATCTACCACCGACTACTCTTTTTGAGAGGATGGGAGACAAAGTTCGTGTCTTCCCGGGGTTTCTGCGCTCGTTTGAGTCGACCTACGGCTTCCGTGTCGCCTGTGCCACCATGACCATTGCAATCGTTGGATTTCTACGCGATACACAGACCTTTTTCACTGCGCAAAGATTAGTGTGGGCTTTGATCATGATCAATCTCAGCATGTCTCCCACCTCAGGACAGAGCATTTTTAGTTTCGTGTTGCGGATTTTGGGTACATTCCTTGCAATGGTAGCATGTCTTCTGATCTGGTATATTCCAGGTAAACAGACACCTGGTATCATTGTTTTCCTGTTTATCTTTGTCTCCATTGCCTTCTACATCCCCATCAAGATGTTCCGCTTCCGAGCGGTCGGGATCATCAGCATCATCACTACAAGCATGATCATTGGTTATGAGCTCCAAGTTCGCCGAGTCGGTGAGGCAGTCGCGACATCCAATGGACAGCCCTACTACCCCATTTACCTTCTGGCACCTTATCGACTGGCTGTTGTGGCGGGCGGTATTGCTGTCGCATTCTTTTGGACGTTCTTTCCATATCCAATCTCAGAGCATTCAGTCCTCCGTCAGAGTCTAGGAGCATCGTTGTATCTTCTCGCAAACTACTACTCGATTATTCACGAGACGATCTCCGGTCGTATGCGTGGTGACAAGGGCGAATACCTACTCAAAACCTCTTCGGGTCGCAAACTGGAGAAAGCGCGACGCAAAGTGTTTTCAAAGCAGATGCTTATGCTAGCCGGTTTACGAACATACTCTGGGTTTCTTCGATGGGAGGTTCCTGTTGGTGGTCGGTTTCCCAAGAAGCAGTATGATTCAATTATTGTCTGTGTAGAAAAGTATGACATGTTATCCCACGTCTTTTTCAGGTTCTAACAGTGTTTACATTTCTAGCATCGTGAACTATCTCAGCTTGCTAGGTTACGCATCCGATACCCTCATGTCTATTGACGACGCCGAAGATCCAGCAGATGCCATCTGGATGACAGATTTCCGACGCCTCATCAATACTGCCAAGGTGACAACTCACGAGGTTACATCTTTACTCTGTCTTCTTTCTGCTAGCATTACGAACCGACAACCTCTGCCGCCGTATCTCAAAGCACCTCGACCGTATAGCTTCACGAAGCGCCTGATGGAGCTTGACAGTGACCTTCTGAGCCTCCGGCACATTGCCGAGCCAGGATTCGCGGCGTTTGCAGTCTTGCAGATCTCAACCCGCTGCATTGTCGGTGATATGGACAGACTACTGAAGTAGGCTTATAGTGCGCCCCCGCTGTTCGACCTAGCCGGATTTGCTAACAGTACTATTCATTTAAGGCTTGTCAAAGGCTTGGTTGGCGAATTGGACTTCTCTTTCCACGCTGTGAGCACAGGAGAGTCAATGGCAGAGTCGCGAATGCCTTCTCGAGCAGGATCGAGAGTGGATCTGGGCGAGTACGAATTATCGCAACCTGGTGATCGGCGCAAGAAAGATTGATTCGCTGTCTTTCTTCTCGGGATGTGCGCGATTGCTAACTTTTTCGCACATCTATTGACGTGACGTGTACATAATGAGATGACGAGCACCAATATATCATTGGCTTCATCAGCGCAGAGTAATACCAATCATCGCAATTCATTTCGCCATCAACACTACCCCGCAACATAGTCCTCTGCAACTGGTTCCTCTGCATATCCAGACCTGCCTAGTCTAAACAAACTAGTATGAATGATGTCAAATTCGACCAAGCTCTCTTCTCCCAGATCTAACAACATGCTTCGAAGCAGCGATGACGACCTTCAGCAACGTCGACATAGTCATAGCCAACGTGGTACTTGGTCACGCGCCGGGATGCCTTGATCCTCAGTAGGCCGCCCATTGGTTCAAGTGATCCCGAACGGCTAGCGATGAGGCACTATCGAGGCACTGATCTCCAATTAAAAGTCGGCTTGAAGCTATCGAGCATATCGAGACAAGTATTCTTTTTTTCAAGCTAATCAGGACTGGTTCAATTTATTAATTCACAAATTCTCGCAATCGGACTCGTTCGCATGCGCGCAGCGGTAACGTGGTATGGTCTATAACGAAGGTTAGATGTGGAAAAAAAATTCAGCCAATTTAACTACTAGACCACAATCTAAATTGTGTTTTGTGTTTAGTTAGGAATACCTAGAAATTAGGCTTAGGATATCGGGCTTCTTATTATCTGTACAGTATAAATTAACTACCGTATACTAATTATCCGTTTATTTTATCCCACACTATATCAACTTCCTCTTAAAATCTACGGTAGCCTTTATAGATCTTAGTACGGTTGATAAGGGTATACATTGCGGGCTTTATATACTTCTCTATATTATCAGTGAAATACAATAGATGCAGTATAATATAGTATCTAGGAATAGCTTTAAAAATTGCCAAGTTTAGCTAGTAAGGGGGGGGGGGGGTGGTATTAGCACCTGCTTAATCGCCGCTATAAGTGCTTTCTCTTGTTGTTTCGGTTTTGCTTCGGCGCATTGATCCAGCCATTGATGAGGGGGAAGTAGTAGCTAAGCATGGAGTTTGCCAATGCCTTGACTGAGTCCTCATTCACGGAATTATTTTCGACGAACTCAATCAGTTCCTGGCATTCTGGCAAAAATAGATAGGCGGCTATCATTTAGGGAACGCTATAACATCGTCAGCCACTGGCCTAATGCTAAATATGTTCAAAGAACGAATATCATACCTGGAGTAATGTAACTGAACAATTCAGCAGAGGCAGACTCTGAGCAGATAGAAGCGTTGGGAACCTGTACTATATAGCTTCATGAGAAGTTAGAAGGGCGCTGCAAACCACCCTGGCTGTTTCAAATCTTGAGAAGGCGCCGAACTACTTTTTTAGTGCCATAAATTTCGGCTTTTTTATCCAACAGATGTATCCATGAGCGCTTATGAACTCCCAGAATATATTTCTGTGCCTAGTACGGGCGACCAAGTATACCACCGGCACATAACTCTCTTACTGGTTCGTATTGCCAGTAGTAACTTAGATCCACTCTCACTTTACAAGAACTAATTTCGAAGATAGGAATATTGAGGCCTAAAGATACCTGATACCACTAACTACAGCACCTGGCGGTGGTTACCGTAGCTGTTTTGATGTGGGTATCCATTCTTGTCAAAACAGTACCCATCAATAATAGAAAGTTAAGCTTTTTGTTGTTCAAGGACAGACTGGGGTTAATGAACCTTTAAGTATGCCGGGAATCTCCGCCTGGAACAGATTCATCCAAGATTCAGGAATCCGGCTTCTCCCCAGTTCGGGGAGACCTGTTAAAAAGTTCCGAGTCTCCCCGATGAGAGCCCAAGATGAACTCCTTTTTTAGCGCCCTCTTCGGTTAATTTTTAGGCCAGGGTGAGTCATATCCCCGTCTGACAGGTTTCAATGGAACCTTAGAATATACCTACGTATATGGTGGTCTCATTATACCACATTATTGTATTCCTTAGACACTAACTAAGGTCCAGTCATGTAGCGCCTGAGTGGGTTTGAGACTCCATCTACATGTGCGTGATATCCAGACCTGTGGGTGAGCTGCTGACAGGACAGATTGTTGGATCAGGATTACTCGATACGTTTGTAACTAACCTGGTCGTTTGGGGCACTTTAATGTAATTAGTCATGAGTCTGATTCTTATGTTCAGGCGACGAAGCTAACAAAACCACAGGGTCTGATCCAATGAACGCTACAACCAGAGTAGGGAGATACCATTTAAACTCATGCGTAGTCTTCTTCCAAGAGTTGACCAACATTCACACATGGAACTTGGGTAATATCATTGAGAGGTTCTTCTCGCACTAGATTAGTCCAGTGAGCTCCTTCCTTCCAGTACGAAACTCGCAAGCTAGTGCTTGAGCTCCACGGAATATCTACTGCTCCCCTGGGACTGTCCAATTGCTTTCAGCATTAGGCGCTGGACTACCCGTTGGTATGGAATTCCCAACACGTGCATACTAAGTGGGGTATTCTTTCTTTGACAGCCAATTTGCGTAGCTTTTACGTTCTATGTGTGAGAGTTGGCCGTAATCTTAGATATTCTCACACTTCACTGGGTCTGGCAGAGAATCACTAATGCATCATTTAACTGAGCCGCTTGCACAAAGGGCGCCTAAGCTCTTGGCAATCTCCAACAATGTCAACTAACATCATAATAATGTCTAGTCTACGTCTATATAAAGGGATCTTTTTAACAAGCCAAAGAGTACCAAGTTTTAACCCATTTTCGAAACAAAGCAATCAAGTCCAACTATATCTCCATTCCTATCATCAATGAATTTGTCACATTCGTTGAGAACGATTCGAAATATGAAGACAACGTGAAAGCAATGCTTTCCATAACGCTTAGTCATTGCTTTCCTGCCGCCATGGGCTACGGTCTACAAAACCGAAACGACAGCTTTCCAGACATGATCCTCTATAGTCTTCAACGTTGTTTCTCAGGAGATCGGGGCGTCGTTGACCATAAATTTGTTGAGGCAAAGCGCCCCACGGATTCCTTGAAATTCCCGATAGGTAGGTAG